ACATTTACATGCTCAAAACTCTTCGTGTACGAAACTTATGTTTCGCTCTCGCAGAAAGCGCGAGCACCTCAAAATTCATCCCGGTGCTAAAAAGCGGAGTATTTCTAGCGAAGAGGCGTTCGTGGAACAAAAATGGCCCAATTCGTCTAGTCCGTGATAAATGTTTCCGAAAAAAATGACAACAGACTAAACAGACTAGACATTTTTTTCAGATCTTACACACAGATCTGTCCGTATATGCCTGGATAGCAGTTTGCGATATTCCGACGAGAACGTAAATAAAAAAGAAAAAAAAACGAAATTCCCGCGTATGCCGGAAGTTCATAGTACCGTTGGTATTCATGGTGTTCTGAAAAGAACGCATCCTTAGTCTACGTACGATTGCCACAAAGGCGTCATCAGACGCCGCGAGCGTTTCCACGTCGAAGGGAAATCCCGCGAAAATCTACGGTGGCTGCAAATAAATCATCTTTACAACTCCAGTCGCGAATAAAAACTTTATTAAACGGCGCGGACATAAATCATCGGCGGGAGGAAGTCGGCGAAGTTTTACTCCAAAACTGGCTAAAGATAATGTATAATATACGCGGAGGCGCGTTACGCGCAAAAAAGCTAATTGGTGGCCGCAACGGTTTATCAATCTCGATGCAAACGTAATCAACGAGCGAACCGCTCTGTCGTTCGAGGAAGAAGCTCCCTCAGAATCCAAAGTCCCCGATACGGGATTTATGGATGACCGCTGTAATTTGCTCCCGCTCGATCCTGTCCGCAAAAGGACGCGGTTCTCCTAATTTTTCTTATCACGAGGATTAGAGGATCAAGAGATCTACAAATGTCACGGCGAAGAAGTCGATAAGTCGAAAGATCTCCAGGGAATGCGGAAGAAACATTCAGCAATAAGGAATTGCACGAAATAACGAGTTGTGTAACATTTGTCATTTGTTACAATTAATATTAAAATATAAATGAAATGTGATAACGTATACGTTGCAAAAATGCATTAAAAATTTATTATTCGTATTGGAAATTATTAATTATATGAAAATAATAAATTGTTGCATTAATAATGATAAATTGCTAATACATTATAATTATTTTAACAAATAATTATAATGTATTATCCTGAAACGGTTTTAATTTATCGTTTGCAAGATGATTTATTATTTCTAAAGATGGCTTGTTATCTCTGATAAATTTATTATTGCTACGAATTTCATATTCTTGTAATTTATTTCTAATTAACTTAACATAATCAAAAGCTCTATTATTCGGTAATTAATTTTGATATGCTTGCGAATTTTTTTTCTATTTTAACGGATCTAATCATTATTATATCAAATCGCGCGTAGCATGAAACATAATTTTATTAAACTTATTGTTATATTATATAATATATCAATAATACTATGTGATAAACAACGTACATATAATCAGCTATCCATTTACATTCTGCCAATTAGCCGAATGGTTAATAATTGAAATATTCTCGATGTAACGTATTGCAAAACATTTACATGTAATCAATATTATTTCAATATCCATAGTTTCCCTTTGTAAACTAATTCATGGAATTTTAGCGATAAAAGAACAAAGAAAATCTATCTCGATATATGTATGTATATGTATATCGATTTTAAATATATATAATAAAAATTAAAGAAATAAATAATTACGTTAATGTAATAAATACAATAATATAATGAATACGTATAACAGATATGTTAATAATAAACAGGCGTAAATAAAAGAGAATAGAGAAAATTTCAACAAATATAGGCAATTTAAAGGATTTCGGAAATGTAATAATTTGTAAAATATATTTTTATCAATTTTATTCAATTTGCATCCTTTTTCCAAAGAGGAGCAAAAAATTAAATAATACTCAACAGCTTCATTTTTATTTAACGCTAGCGTATTCGCGAAGGAATATACAGCAATTTACCCTGCCAAATAAATTACCAGCCTCTCTTTCGAATGCTATCGGAAAAGCCTCGGGCTTCATTATCGTTCGTCCTCGGCGTGTGTTGTAGTCTTTCGTCGAATTCTTAGGGAGCTCGCCGAGTTGACCGAGGGATCCTCGTTACGGTTATTTACCGAAGACCAATACTGATTAATTCCAAACCGTTCCCCTGGCCTCTCATCCCCCTGTGAATTCTACACGGGCAGTGTATTCAGCCGCGGCCACCCTATCCTCGATCTTGCTCTTCGGCCTTCGGTATTTGCGGTCGATGGACTCAGAAACTACATTCGCATGTTTGCTACCAAATATTGCCGACAAATAAGACGTAAAGGATGCTCTGGGGAAAGTTTTCGGGGAAGGTCCGCTCCCCGATTATCGGAAAAGTTAACGTAAACGATCGGAATTAATGAGAATAATCCTAATTGATTGTTTCTTTTCTCTCGAAAAGAAATCTAAATGCGATGGCGCAGGTACATAAAAGTCAATCGAATGGATGATAATATTGATTTGCACAGATATGTACAAACATTTTTACTTCTTGTTTATTTAGAAGATAATTTCAGTGAAAATGACAGAAGGAAATATAACAACTTATAAGTTACTTATGTATTATACTTATGTACTATAAAAGAAAACTGTAGATCTATATTCAATTTCAAATTTATTAAGAAATCTAAGTTTCCTTAACAATGTTAATTAATTACTTTTTTATTTTAACATACTTGATTTGGTAAGGTAAAAGTATTTCTAGATTATATTTATTAGTAAGGAGCTGCATCAATTTTTTAAAAAGTTTCAAAGATCTTGTCGAAACTTCACTCGATATTATTCTGCAATTCTTTGAAAATTGCGACTAAATATTAAATTGTCAAATCAAATATTGCTTGAAATCTTTAGAAGGAGTTATGGCTTTTAAATAAAATTATATCTATATTTTCATGCGTCATGTTTTCTATGCAAATATTTCTCATTCACGAGAGAAAATGTCCATTTTAAATTAGATATTAAATTAAATTAAAAAGTTTTAATACGTAAATTAAAAATTTTTAATTAAATGTAATATTATAATTAAATTATAATTAATATTATATACTTTTTAATTTTAATTTTTTTACAAATCTATTTTGATTTCCAATTTAGAAAATGTTCACTTTTAAAGTTAAATTAATTTTAAAAAAACATATTTTATATCCATTTACGTGAAAAGTTAAAAACAATTTTTCTAATTTTTTGTTAGAGAGTTGATGAATATAGTACATGTAATGCATATATAAATAAATTTTAAATCATATTTTTTTATAAGTTATTAAAAAATGTATGACGTATGGAATAAATGGCGTATGTATTATGTGCGCTTGTGATATTCTAATATCTCTAAAATATCCGCGCATGTAGAAAGTAGGCAAATTAAAAAAGTTATATAGAACATTAGACCACTTACTCGTCTAAGTATGAAGGGGCGGAGCGGCAGTAAGATTGCATGTTTCAACAAACTTGAAGCCAAGCTCTCTGCTCTTTTCTTTTTTTTTTCTATAAAAGTTTGATCGATGATCATCTTTCTTCGTTCCTTTTCAACGTTGTTGAATACTTTAATCACTCGAGTTCAAATTAAATTCCTAAACTGTACATCCTATAGCATTTCACTAAGATCAAACATTGTAGTGACGTCTATTAGAACAACGGTGAAATTAATTCTATCATTGTATCGATAAATAATGTCATTACTCTTATATGACAATTCTTGAAAAAAATAGCCATCAAATTTAAAATTTATCAAATAAAAACTTGAACGCAATTTATTTTTAAACTAATCATAATGCATTTCCCAACATGCAAATTAATTTAGTACTTATTAATTTATTAATATGAATTTAATTTATGGTCACTAAATTGACAAATTAAGACCAATGATCTGACGAATTAAGACCGATTATATGATACATACGATTATATGAGGAATCGAGCATGGCACAGTAGACAATGCATTGGTCCACTATGCTATAGAAGCCCCCCGATTCGATTCCCGGCAGAGCCAAAATATATTTACGCTCGTCTCCTCTCGGAAGACAGCGGCAATCCACCGAGAAGTAACTTTCCTGACGTACCTGTAGAAGAAGCTTCAGATATATTAGGATTTATTTCAAAGATAAACTTGTAAGACGTAAATCTTTTTGGTCCTTAAATTCACCAATTCTCGTGCTCTTTTAATTGCGACGACCGGATTGTTAGAACCATCAAAGTCTTCAGCCTGCTTTCCCCATAATGTAACACATACCTATCGTACAAAAATTTTTAATATTCAAAATTAATTATATATAAATCTAAGATCAATAAAATACTAAGAAAATTATTGTTATTTAGTATCATAACATAAAATTTATTTCGTAAAAGAGTTTAGACATATGCAGAACGCATAAAAAATTACAAAAAAAAAACGAATTAAATTATTTAGTTTAATTAACTAATACATTTTAGCATCTCTTAAACAATGTATTTTAAAGAAAAATGTTCCATGTATGGCTTCGAGGAGACCATGATTGCAATGACGTCACGATTTTTATAATCGCCATTTTTTTAATGGAGTTATATATTTTTTGTTACACAGTATGGTTTCTCTATTTATTTTGGATAAAAAAATATTAATGTACAAATATCAAAAAATTAATAGTTTACGAGATATTTTATACTTTATTTTGACATATCGGACACCCTGTATATACTTATCATGACATCATGTGTCATGATAAGAATGTATGTACTCAACGTAAACATTTGCGGAATGCGAAATGAAGAAGATTCGTCTTTGTCTCACGTCTCTACGTCTATTTTTAAAAAAGTTACAGCAATTTAAAAATCCGCAAGTGTACCCTTTAAAAAAGCCGCGTGCATTTTTTGCTTAGATGTTCACACTTTCTTGCCTTCCTAAAAAAGTATGAAAACACGTGTAGTACAAGCGCTTTGAAATACGATATGCCGCCACCGTGAAACGTACGCGTGCGCCATCTATTAGACAGATCTTAAAGTGATTGTCGAAATCCCTCCCTCCCACTACCCCACCAAGCTCCATTAAAATACGGACGTGAAACCTTGCGCTCTGTTACGTTAGAGGTTAAGTTCCCGGGAAGTTTTGAACGAAGCGTACAAGCACGTCGACAGGATGTCGAAATCAATGGGTAGGAAAATGGCTAAGAAGCTAATACAGAAGATCGATCACTCGTCGAAGTTGCGCGTGGACATTCCCGCCGGGTTGGCGTCGTCCGCACCGCCGCTTGGATCTCAGCTCGGACAGGTTAGGATTCATGAAAATCGTGCACCAGCGAGATATATTTAATCCCTTTCCTCTTGCAGTGCGTTTTATTGTCGTCTCTTGAATTTTAGTAATTCTTATCTTTTTTCCATAATTCTCGATATTAATCGCGATTTTTGGTGCCTAACATGAATGATTTTTCATTCCAGAGAAACATAAACATTGAGAAATTCTGCAAAGATTTTAACAAGAGGACAGCTGACATCAAAGAAGGCATTCCTCTACCTTGTCGCATAAAGATACATTCGGACAGAACGTACGATCTGGTGATCCATAAACCACCGACGACATACTATTTGAAACAGGCGGCTGGTATACAAAAGGGAAAATTTAAGAAGGGTATGTATAATAGATCTCTTTATTTTAATTAACATGTATTTGGATTTTTAATCCTGAATTTATCATTTTATGCTTGAGATATGAAACTGTTCTAATTTTTTGTTATTCTAAAGAAAATGTAGATGAAATAATATTTAATATCATCAAAGAGAAAAATATTCAATATCACCAAAAAGAAAAATAATAAAATGTTCATAAATTTACATTTTTTTACAGGCGAAGTAGCTGGCAAAATAACTCTAAAACATTTATATGAGATTGCTAAGATCAAAGCGGAAGATCCACCAAATGCATTATTGTCCCTGGAACAGATATGTCAAATGTTGGTTGGCATCGCTCGGACATGCGGCATTGAGATTGTGCGCGAAATAAATCCAGAGGAATACGCGCAATTTCTAAAAGATAGGGAAGCATCATACGCACAGTTTCGTGAGGAACTTCGATTAGCTAAAGAAAGCAAAGTACTCAGGACAAATTAGTAAATTTGTAATCAGTGTAATAAAATCTGGTTTTTACTGTAATTAGTGTACATATAAAATAAAAATCACGCGCGAAAATCTTTCTCGATAAATATACATTTATTTAAAAAAAATCAAATCGTATTTATATAATTAATTATATTTGATTTCGAGAATTTATTTTATTTATTCATTAAATAAATAAATATTTTCTTCGAATGATTATTTAAGAGGTAGACGATAGGTAAAAAATGACTGATATATAAAGCAACGAACAAGATGTACGTATTTTACAAGTTATGTACAGAATCTCAGATTACTTATCGTTTATCATTAGTGAAAAATACATATTATATAAGACTTTGAGAAAGAATTTTTCCACTATTTTTCTGATTAAAAAAAAATCATTTTCTAAAGAGTGTGATAATTTATGTCTAGAAATACATTCAATCTAAACAGGAGTTCGTTAAAACGGATAAAAGTCTTTCGTCCATAGAGACTCGACCGAGCTATTCAGATTGAAATGTATTAGGCCTAAATACATGTAATAAAACGACAGCTTGAGGAGCGCCCAACGTTCGGCGATCGACACCCAGTATCTGTTCCACGTGTTTGAACATTGCCTGATCTTCTCGCCATACACGGAACGCACGCAGCATTTGGACATCTCCATCATGGCTGACATCCTGGTTTGAGTGCGCAGCGAATATTCGATACCGCGCATCAGGTCGTTGGTCTTGAGGACCAGTAGCATCTGTTGGTTAACTCGGTCCAGCACGGTACTGATCTGTGGTAGCAAATTTGGGATATTCTGTTGAAATTCCGCCTTCTCACGGGCGTCGTATCGAGTCTTACGCACGCCCGCCACGATAGTGTCCCACGTTCTACCGGATACCATGCATGAAAGTAGGCCGTAGTAATCGGGGACGCCGAGACGCGTGCAGTACTTTTTCATGGCCTCCCGATCGCCATCGAGGATCGCCAGCCACAGTTTCGAGTAGTCCCAGCGAAATTGATCAGTGAGATCAGCGTAGAGACCATGGTCCAGCAATATAATCTCTGCCTCAGAGTCGCGATTGCGTACTAGAATATTACCAGGATGTGGATCCGAATGGACGAAACCCTCAATGAAAATCATGTGACTGTAGAGACGGCCGAGCTTGCTGCTGATCTCGTATGGATTTAATTGATGAGCCCGTATATATTCCAAATCGTTCACCTGTCCGCCGTCCAAGAATTCCATCGTGAGCACGCGGGGCGATGATGCGTCCCAATGTATCTTCGGCACTTTCAGCCAGTGATAGCCAGCAAAGAGCTTCCCCACTTTCTCTGCATTCTTACCTTCGAGCATAAAGTCCAATTCCTGCGGGATGTTCCTCTTTGTCACCTTAACCAGCCAGTCGAATTTGAAATCCGGAAATATCAGGGACGTGATGCTCACCAGAGCTGACATAGTCTTAATATCGACGTAGGAATTACTCTTGACAGAGCGATGCTGTACCTTCACTGCTACCATGTCGCCGTTTTTCAGCACAGCCCTGTGCACCTGTGCAAGACTGGCAGTGCCTATGGGTTCTGGATCGATGCTCTGGAATATCTCATATGGGTTCTTCTTAAAGTCCTCTCTGATCACAGTGAGTACATCATTGAACGAAGACTGGGGTGCCTTACTGTGCAGCACTCGCATAGTATATACATACTCCTGGGGTAACAAGTAATCCATGGCACCCACATGCTGACCCACCTTGATGTAGACCCCCTTGTTGGCGCAACAGAGTTCCAACAGCTTCTGCGCTGCATACTTATGAACGTTGGATTTAAGCTGCAGGTATTCCACTGATTTGTGGTCCAGCTTACTGCTGTACAACTCCTTTTGGTAATGCCGGCCTATCTTGAACACCGCAAGCGCGGCTCGGCTCAATCGCACGATTCCAATGGCACCAATGTCATATTCGTTCACCCTGAGAGATGCCAGGGTGCCGAACCCGATTGTTCCAACAGCAGCAATCTTGAGCAATCTTCTGGACGTGAACATTATCGTTCGACTGAGAGTTCCTGCGAAAGATCTTTCATTTTAAGTCCGTAATCAGGGCAAAGTATATTATAATAATTTTAATCAAGAGGGCAATGACCTATGACACATTCCTTTTCAAAACATATCACAAATGTTATGTAATTAGGAAGATATAATTACAAATTTACATGATGCACTAACTTAATAAAGAACAAAAAGCAAGGGTTCAAAGTCCTTATAAATTTGCATGACACGACGTCTCGCAGCATGAAATGCGATGGTCAAAAAATGTGAGTTTCGAAAAGGAATTAAGCCCTCTAACCTCTCCTTGTAACCTACATATCTCCTGGGGCGAATCTCATTAACGGTTCCGTACTACTCTGTGCGCATTCACAATCGACGTTCTAATACATGACTCTTTCACAAAACAGTTGTTCACAAAACAATTAAATCAAAACACTTAAATCTATTGATTTTCAGTAAATCACGTGGATGAGATGTGTCAATACGAGAAGGTAGATAACTACAGATAATCGTTAGATAATCTAAAATGGAATGTAATAAAGAGATTCTTTTCTGAAACAACGACATATAACGCAATATGAGCCACTTGACTCTCTCGTAGAAACTACGAGAAAACTCGACACGAAAATAACTTTCAAATTCTGCCACGCACGAAAATTTTTAGCAAACGTTGCGCTCTCCTTCTCAAATAAAACGGAGAGATTCGTTTCATATAAATCATTCTTTTTTGTTATTTTATATGTCCAAGTTTTAAAGTCACAATTTTATCTAAAATATTTTATATTTTTTTGACACATAATAATATATATAATAAAATATTTTTATTCTTTTTATAAAGAAAAATATATTACACGAATATATTCGAAAAAAATCATTTATTTTCATTAAGATTTATTAAAAAATGTTATTATAAAATATATTACAAAGTATAGTAATGTAAAATTCAATATAAAAATAAATAAAGGAACTAATAATTATATATATATATATATATATATATATATATATATATATATTTACATAGTACTTCATAAATTTACCATTAACCACTGAACTGTTTAAGGATACTTTCGCCTTCAGCTTGTTGTATCAACATTTTCTAAAAAAAAATTTAATTAACATTCAGATCATATGAGATACTTTTTTCTTCAAGAAATATATGTTAATACAATATTCTCATTACTTTGAGTGGCGGAACAGCATCCACCAGTTGCAAGCCCAAACTCCTAGCAAGTACGATGGGTGTCGCGGTATGTTGATAGAATCGATGAAGTCCATCGATGATCAGCATTGTCGGCACGTTATGACGTTGTCTCAGTGTTTCATATTTTCGTAAGTAATACATATCGTTGAGATGACTGCCACTCACAGTAGCCTCAGCAAGGATTTTCGTCAGATCCGTCACATCGCCGAAACCTAGATTTACACCTTGACCAGCCAAAGGATGGACTCGATGCGCGGCATCCCTTTAAAAACGCGAAGATAAAAAAAGACTTATTGCATAATATGCATACAATAAATTATTTCTAACGAAAGCTCAGCATAATAATCAATTTAAAAACGGTGTACGAATCAAATAGAATTTTTCTTGAGATGATTATCTTTTGGAGATTGTGTTTTGGTGTACTTGGGATCCACACGGGATTTTCAGGTTCTCCGCAACACAACTTTTAAGATCAAGAATTTTCTTACCCGACTAGCACCGTGCTCGACTGGACGTAAGATGAAGCATGACCGAATCCCAAGGGAAACGCCGCCCGCGATCCCTCGACGATCGCTGATATGGAGGGCGGCATTTGCTGAGACTCTTGATTCAAACCGAATCTTGTAAGCAACCAATGAAATCCGTGCATCCCGCTTTCAACGATATTGTTCTCTAGCTGTGTCCGCTGCAATGCATCATTTATCTTGTCAACGAATTTCTCCTCCGAAATTTTCAGTAATTCCTTCGCCTTCTCATTCGTTACAGTCCACACGAGCGAACTGAGAGAATCTGTCAGCTGTTGGAAAATAAAATTATTGAATCAATCTGTCGATCCTCATTTTTCATTCGAATAAATTAAATTAGCTTATTAAAATATTCAATTTGTTGCTTTAAACATTGTACGTACATTGTACAACATTACGTTTTATATTTTTGATGTCCGTTTTTTAAATCTTATTAATTTTTTAGAAAGATACTGAAAATAACACGAATTGATGTTTTTGGATTTCATTTCATTGATTTAAATGTAGCTTCATCGTTCTTTTTAAGCATTCTAAAATCTGCAAACACTCCCCAATTTTACATAAAGAAACGAAGAAGAATAAATAATAAAATTCAAATCACCGGAAGTAGTGCGATGGGTCCTGTCGGAAGAAATCTCTGCCAAGCAACGACGTTCTCCGTGGGCTGAAATCAACAAGTGTTATATTAACAAGTGTTATAATTTAACAATTCACAGATGTTGTTAGATATTTTCTTAAACGTGAAAACGTGTCTCTGATTTCCGTTATATTCCAGTATTACATTACGTATTTTTCGAAGAAAAATATCACCTCGGATAATTTGAGAGTTGCGACGATGCCCAACTGATCATACGGCCAGTTTACATAAATCACCCCCAAAGCCTTTCTCACCAGCGAGTTAACGCCGTCGGCGCCCACCTGGAATACATCAAAAGATACTTTATTTACTTTGACTTGTTACGCCTGACGGTAACTACATCCTAAAAGAAAAGTTATAAGCGTTACGAGGATTATTGGATTAGTATGAGGATGGTGCGTATAATACGACGGTTGCGACAGACGAGCGCGCCGAAGATTTACAAACGTGTACAAAAATAACATCAGTTTCTGTTCCAGATTTCAGCGATGATGTCGGAGATCGTCTGCGCTGCGGATGGTTAACATCTCATACTCGTTTCTAATCATAAACGCTACTTCGTTTATACACAAATTCGCAATATCATCCGCAAAAAGTGCGACTTACATTCTGATATAAGAACAGGATATTTTAGAAAACATATATAAAACTTTGTATTTATCTAACAAAACAAATTTCATCAACAAATAAAATTTATCACGCTTAACCATTGTATCTATTTGCCTCAATTTATTCGTAACATTTTTTGAGAATCGCCATAGATGAGAAAATAAATGTTTTTTGAAATATTATTATCCTTATTACTAACACATAATGCTAATCATCATTTATTATTTTCAAACTCTTCGCATTTTTCTTTAAATTTTCCTTTAAATTTTCAGAAATGGAAATAGAAATCGCTTTTAGTATTGTGTTATCCGAATTTTTCAATTAATTTTCAATTATTAAAAAAATATATAATTAGAAAGGCAGAAAAAAGATCGCGCCAGGATGACTATTCCATAGAACAGCATTATTGACACATCGACTGAATTCTACTAAATTTCATTTTCGCGTGTAGAATGACTGAAGCTGGTTGATAAGATAATCATTTCCGGCATTGCCGGAAAGGGACAGTAGGGACAGAGAGATAGTTTGCGGTCGGGGATTTTTCCTTTTTCTTCATCGCGGAAACACGCCGGAATTGTGCGATGAGCGAGGGAGAACCGCGAGAGATTAATAGAAGCTAAATATATAACGGTGTTTTATAAACACGTGTGGGTATCCTGAGATACACAGAGTCGGAATAGTCGACTAAGTGCTCAGTATTAGCGAGCAAGAGCGAGCAAGAGCGATGGGTGCACGTTAAGAAATTATCTATTCTAGAAGATTTAGTGACGATTTAGTGACGATGTTTATCATCATTAATTACAATCTTGGTAATGTTAGCGCTTGGTTGTCAAATCATCGCCGTATTTTTTTAACAAGTTATCATTGTGCATGGAGTTACGTGTAGCTGTTATCAGTGCGTAGACCCACAAGCCTCAAGCTGATCAGGAGATGAAATTTTGCACGAATTCTTTTTGCGATTATACTGCCAGTAGTTTTATTTGACTTGGGTAATTTGTTTAAGAGTCCAAAAGAGGACATGACCATGTCGATTCTCAGTAAGAGGAACTTTTTCGCAAGATTCTCCGGCAGTCATCTAACGCGAGAAGCGCCGAGGATCGAAACTACCAACAATGGAATGCCGTCCGTTGTAAGAAATAAGGTCAGTGAGGCTATCGATTGTCGATCATCTTCTTGGATTTTTTTCTTGAAGCTCGTGTATCAAATTTAGGAAGAGCGCGAGGACATGTGGATGAACGAGATAGATGGTAACAGCATCTCTTCCGAGGATAGCTCGGATTCTGTCATCTGTCACATGCAAGTAGCGCCGATGACGCAGGAGCAACCCTGGAGTAGGGAAGAAGTCGAAGGGGCGTTATTAAATCTCCCAGGGGGCGAAGCCGCTTTTTCTCTTATCTCTTCTCTTCAGGGCGATGCTCTGCAAAAGACTCTGGAGGAATTCCAATCCTTGACTCTCAACGAAATTGCGGATTGCAGGCATCGTAAGATTTCGTTGCCTACTTTCGCGAACGGGTAATAAACAACAATAGTTGAAATTTAATCTTTCATAAAATAAAAGTGAGAATTAAGAACAAACTTCGTACAGATTTATGCGAAAAGCTCTACTAGACAGTGAAAACGGAGCAGCGGCTGCCGCGAGTCCGGGTCAATTACTCGCAGGATGGCCAGAAACGTGTCTGCTGATTTCTAGCTGGTTGGGTCACGTAGAAGTTGTGAAAGCTTTACTGGACAAAGGCATACCAGTTTCCACGAGAGACATCGATGGAAGGTATATAACTGCGATAGATAGACATTATCATTCAGTATTACTTCCTTAAATTTCTCGATAATCCTAAATTGTCTAATTTTATCATTAGTTAATAAGATGATTCTTTGACTAGGACTGACCAATCGAACTTGAAGCTTCAATTAATTTTTAAAAAACTTTTGTATAGGACACCGTTACATCTGGCAGCTTGTGCTGCATGTGTGAAGCTGGTGGAGGAGTTGCTGAAACATGGTGCTAATCCACGTGAGTGGGACCTGGGAAAGAAATGCACCCCGTTGCATTGCGCCGCGGCGGTGGGTTGCGTCGCTACCGTCAAATGTCTAATCAAGTCGGGCGCGGACGTGGATGCCGGATTGTCTGGCAGGAGTCCGCTTCATTACGCCGTGTTAAACAATGCCGAGGATTGCGTGGAAATTCTACTGCAAGCAGGTGCTTGTCCCAATAATCCACAGGTGCTCCTTCATCACGACCAACTCAAGCACGAATTTGATGGGGAAGTGATGCCTAAACATAAATCTTCAAAGTTAAATTTTATCGCGATAATTACACGCGAAAAAAAATCATTAAGTCTTTAACAGTCAGAATGTAATGAACAATGTCGATTCTATCGATCGGGAATTATTTCCTCACCAAAGTGATACAAGTCTCTTCGAGATTTGTATGACAATTCTTTCTGTGAATTAACACGATTCGTTATGCAGGTTTACACAGAGACACCTCTACACGTAGCGGCTAGTTTAGGCAACGTGCGTAGCACCAAGTTGCTATTGAGTCACGGAGCTGATGTGAGAGTGCAACTGGGAGTCGCGAGATCGACACCGTTGCATCTGGCAGCAGAGGAAGGCAGTGCGGAGTGCACTAAATTGTTGTTAAATGCTGGTGCGACTTGGGATGCAAAGAACTCGCGTGGTCAGACAGCGATGCATCTGGCAGCGCTTGCTCAATCCGTAGAAACGTTAGATGCATTAATAAACGCCGGTGCTAAGGTGAACGCAGAGGATGACGATGGACGAACGCCTCTGCATGCTGCAGTCGCGAAGGCCTTGAGAAGCAGCGAACTAGTGAAGACTTTAATACAGGTTCATAAGTCAAAAATTAAAGCTTAAATAATTAAAGAGTAACCGCACTGAGGTAATAGAAATGTTTTTCGTTTAAAAGGCAGGTGCGTCAGTCAACAAGGCGGACAAGTTTGGTTATACGCCGTTACATATTGCGGCTCTGAACGAGAGCTCCCCAACAGTGATGATGCTGCTGTCGAAGGGGGCCGACGTGACGGCGCGCACCAAGGGTGGCATTACCGCTCTCAGCTTTATCATACGTCGTACTCCAGACGTATTACCGCGTTTCGTAGCGCGTTTCGATCAGGCGATCTCGCTGCACGATCACGAGCTTGGCGATGTAGACTGCGAACTGCGACTGGATTTTCGGCCATTGGTAACGGGCGGTCGCGGCGAAACGGATTTGATACTCTGCCTAGTGGAAGTCGGTCAAGGCCACGTGCTAAAACATCCGTTGTGCGAAAGCTTTCTCTATCTCAAATGGCTCCGTATCCGCAAGTTTTTTCTGCTCAGTCTGATGTTTCATTCAATTTTTGTTGCTCTCTTCACGGGCTACGTCGGAGCGACATTTCTATGGCGCATGGAACAACTCAGCAGCATTCTTCTCTGGCCAGTGCTGGGTTTCACCTGCATGCTTGCATCCAAGGAAATCTTCCAAATCGCCCACGGTATCTGCTCCTACGCCAGACGCTGGGAAAACTGGTTGCAGTGGAGCGTAATCCTAGCATCTGGCATCATTCTGATTCCGTCGGCAAGAACTTGGCAACATCATGTCGCCGCCCTGGGTATCCTGCTCGCTTGGATCGAATTAATGATAGTAGTCGGTCGCTTTCCAATGTTTGGCATCTATGTACAGATGTTCACCCAGGTGTCTATCAACTTCTTCAAGTTTCTCGCGGCCTACGTTTGCCTCATAATTGGTTTCTCCCTCGGCTTCAGCGTACTGCACAAGAATTACAAGTCCTTCGCCAATCCGCTAGTCAGTCTACTCAAGACAGTGATCATGATGTCGGGGGAACTCGAGTTCGAAGATATCTTCTTTGATGAAGCAGCGCCAGTGAAGTATCCAGGTACGGCTCACCTGATGCTTCTCAGTTTCGTCATTTTGGTGACGGTGATCCTAACGAATCTGATGGTTGGTCTGGCCGTGTCGGATATCCAGGAGCTTCGCAGATGCGCCGGCCTCGATCGACTGGTGCGTCGTGCCGAGTTGGTGGCTCATCTCGAGAACATGCTATTTTCCAAACTTCTGGACTGCGCTCCGGCATGTAGAATAATACGTGCGTGCAGGCGAGGTGCTCTGCTATTACACCCACCATATCACTGCGCACTGCACATTCGGCCGAATGATCCACGCGAAAGACGTCTACCGCGAGATCTCATCCGGGCGATTTATCGTCTAGTCAGCGAGAGGAAAACACGACGAGTGACGTTTAGAGGTGGTGCACCATCTGCGAACGCCACCACAGCGGAGTCAAGTCATACGAGGCTCAGCAGGATGTACAGCAACGAGAGTAACCAGCAGTTAAATGAACTGGCAGCTGAGTTAAAAAGATGCTCGTACAATGTCAGCACGAGACTGGATAGTTTGATCGACAAAGTGGAAAGTATCGCCAAAGATTTAGACACATCGATGCATTTACATTGATATTATCTAACTACAGTCTCTAACATTGAACATTTCAAAAATAAATAAACTGTAAAAAGTAACAATCAAAGAAAGAATGCAAACATAAGAGCATAAGAGCATAAGTCACGGCCTAACAATAACAATTCAACAGATACAAATATAACCACGTAATTTTCAATTAAGACAATTTGTATATCCGCTTTGCAGATTAGATAAAATATAATGCATTTTTTTGTATTTCTTACCAATAATCTGGTCTTGTACCGTTCTCCAGATTGCAGCTGCACAGAGATAAATTCCTCGGATGTCTTTGGAAATTTTACAGTGCTAACTGCAGATTTGTAAATCACAGTTACATTTTCCTTTTGAGAGAGCTGCTTGTTGACTGCATGTAATAACAGATCATTTTCAACAATATAGGCTAATTCTTTGTACAAATTATCCTCATTGAATGTTATCACAGCATCCGAACACGCTTCCCACACCTATTTAAAAAAATTACACTTAAGCATCAGAGAATCTTCAATTTCACAAATAAAATAAAATATAAGAGAGATAACAAAAATTAAGATAAAAAATTTGATTAAAAATTTCATGTTATTTTAACTATAATTGATTCCATTGTAATTGATTATTATTAGCTATAATTTATGAGGATATGAATTGTTAGAAAAAACTATCTTTGTACTATTGATATATTTTTTGTAGGCTTAATTTAATTAATCTTAAAGTAGGAAAGCCTGAAAATAAAGATCCACCTGCATTTTTCGTATTGGAGAACAGCGAACTGCCTCTATGTGTTTCCATGCTCCTATACTAGACAACAAAGTTCGAGTTTGTTGATTCAATGCAACAACTCGATTAGAATATTGTTCCTTTGGTGTATATTCTTGTTTAGTGTTACCCTCCAAAAGTAAGATCTTTTTATTCGCCAATATTCGGTTGTTTGCTAAAATGAAAAAAAGGCAAAGAAATTGAACAAAATATCATTGGAGAAGTCTAATTAAACAGGACAATTACAAATTTAAAAAGTTTTGCCAAATAATTACTCATAACTTAAGAATTAATATCCTTCTTTTTAAATAAGAATTTCTTAAACAAATTTCTCAAAGATCTCCAAAAAGAATTAATTTCCTTTTTTCTTAAACAAATATTTCTTTCCTCTTTCTTACAATTAAATAATAAAATCAACAAGAAAAACTAACCTATGGCGCATGCCAATGTCATGCCAACCATGCCGCCTCCGGCGACGACGATGTCATAGGTTTCTTCATTCTCTACAGTAGCCGAATATCTCCTTTTTGTAACTGCAGTCACACCGGTGACGATACGCTCATATTTTCGCGAAAACGACGCGAAAATTAACCGACACGTTGATACCATACTGAGAGCCGCCATTTTTCACCGGATTAGGCTGCTTCGCGTCAAAACAGCTGTAGATGCGCGCGCGAGGCCGATAGAGACAAAAATTATATTCTGAATTTCATGAAATACACAAACTGTAAATCGATTAGTTGCCCATCCTGATAATTCTTTCTCTCATTATCTCATCATTGGTATTTTAATTTTATTGTTATAATTATAATATTAAATTAATTATTATTATTAATTGTATATTAATATTATATATTATATATTAATAATACTTATTAATATTATTAATTATATATTCTATAGATTATATGCAATTCATAATTCCCATAATTTTTAATTTCGACGAAAAAATCATATTTATTCTGTTTATAAAAAAACATATGCATTTCATTCATATATATTTATAAAAAATAAATATTTAAATGTTTGGGATTTGATTAATCGAGATGAAATAATCCCAAAAAGAATTTATTTCAATTTAAATATTTATTTATCTTTACATAATCTTATTCATATAATGTAAATATTCTTTTATATATTATTCTTTATATTCGATGTAATTGCAAGGATTTGAACGCATAACTTCTCTGAAAATGTAAATTGGAACGAAAGAGAAATGTAAATTGGAACATCAGAATAAAAAAGAATTCATTTTTAAAACACTTGTTTTGGAGTTCTAATTTACGCTTCTTATATTCATTTCTATTAATCTCGGTTTAATTTATTTTTCATCTTTTCCTAATTTTTAAAATTAAAATTAAAAGATGATAAAAATTAAATTAAATTGTGATTAAAGTTTATTCAGAAAAATTAGAATAAAAAAAAAATTAGAAAAAAATATTTATCTAAAAATCAAGACAGATATTCTCATATATAAGCAAGAATATTATAATTTTCATATAGAAGATTTTTAATCTTGAGTTGAGCAAAAAGAAATATAAATTCAATCACATAAATCAAGATTCAAATTTTCTAAGAAAATATTATATCATAATATTCTTGCTTATATATTAGAATATTTACTTTGATTTAAGACTAATTTTCTTTCTGTACAAGGTAACAGAAATAGATATTAAAAGCTTTGCTGGCGCTTTTATGCCTCTGTTGTGCTACACTTCGCTCCGATTTTTATTTCCGCCAGGGTTCACCGAAGCCGTCGAAATTTCATCACAACCCGCACGCTATTCTAAGATTTACGAACGAGTCAATAATTAGAGGGGTCGACGTTCCTTTCGTATTCTATAACGAATCGATCGGGTTATTATGCGCGCCATTTATTTCTATAGGGACTGGTCGCGGGGCGTTAGCACTTCCTCGTAGGCTTCACCATGGCGACGATGACGCCGGGCCAGGTCGCATTGATCCTCCCCGAACAGGTCGACAGATATAGTAACGACTGCCCAAGCAGTCGACACGCCATTCGTATCGTGGTTTTGAGATTCGGATCTATTCGAGACCTGATCCCCAACTTCAAAATCTATCTGCAATCACGTTTGGCTCGATCGCTCGGGGAATAATAAATGTGATTAGCGAGAAATTCCACGAAGAACTGGGAGAAATCTTCTGACCTCTATTGCCTGCGAAACGGACGTCTTGGGAAAAATGTCTCTTAATTCTGATGACGATTGAAACACACAGGGTGACAAATATGTTCTGAATACACGAAGAAATTTCAATGTATTTAAAATGGATAAATATAAATATATGTAAATTAAATTCAGTTTCAGCACATTATTTATCAATTAATAACAAGTAGATATTTGATGCAATTATTTTTCAATTATATTGTCTTTTGCTTCTATCACTACTGTGTGCCGCGTACCATCTTAAATAAAGCGCTGAAACGCTATAATATTCAAAACATATTTTATTCTATGGTACATAATTTAAATTTTACATTATTTAACATATTTAACATATCATTAATTTAATATAATTTTATATCACATCAGCGTACCATGACGGAGCACAGAGGCACGTCCTTCTTTCATTCATGCGTGAAGACGCCTGTGGATCCTTGTAGCCGTCAACCAACCCCTTCCTACGAACGTCCTCAGCTATCATCCGGAAGCCGAAGATCAGAAAAAATAAAGAAGATCAACTTTGCCGAGGGTGAACCAACTGCCGCTGAGAATTCAGAGTCGTCGAGTCCACGTGATACTCTAGAAAATTTTCTCGAATTCCTGAAGAGCATACCGGACTACGGACAGGTGCATCACCTGTCGAATGAGCAATTCAGGCAGAAAGTCGAGTACTTGAGAAGGAAGCAACGGTTGCTCCTGCAGAATCTGAGGAACTCGTTGGACGATGCGGACAAACCGCCCTCGCGATTGTCAATCGCGAGAAACGAAGGTCCGAAATTGAAAGATGCTAAGTCGGGTGATCTCATCAGCGATCTCACATTGAACGGTAAAAAATGCTACCTCGAGGAATCCAGGACCAGCAGCCCGATATTGTTCCCGTCTGGCAGTTTCGCCGGTCTCGCCGAGGATCAGGATCTGCTGACATACAGGTGATACATTAATTCTCCATCGGCAACTTGAGGATTTGAAAGCATCGATTTTTTAATTGGAAATTTTAGGATAATTATAACAGATGGTAAAGTCGATAGTCCTTCAGTAAAAAAATTTCTACGATGGAAAAATTGGTTATTAAATTTTCATAAATATATGAAAAACTTTTTGAGATTTTTTTTATAAAATGCAGAAAAACAATAGTCTTGAAATCTCAGATTATTAAGAAAAGATGCTAAATTACAAATTGCTGATGGAAAGTTATTGTCAATCGAATTGGTAAAGGAAGAGAGCGACTGATAAACATTCTAATGTCAATTTCAGATGTAGAGGCAAGGACAAAGAGGCGAAGACAATGCGTAATAAAGAAATACTCGCGGCCAACAAGAGCTGGACCACGTGGAGTGAGTCGAAGAGCGACGATAGCGCGAACAGCGATGGCGAGGACAGCATCGAGACAAAGAGTTTACCGCCGAATAGTTCAAAAGACTGGCACCCAACGGTGCCCAAGCCGTTCAGTTTCACTCTGAGGTGAATATATTAAACAGCAAAAATTTCTAAAAGCTGTGTAAAATTATTTTTACGTCATACATTATATTTTTTTTCTATTTTATTATATTCTATATTGTTTGTTTCCTGTTTATATATCTATGTAAATAAATAAATGCAGAACACTTCTTGCTCTGTTTCAGGGAAGAGGCGGAAAAGTATATGACGGAAGTGGAGACGGCCGAGCATGCGAATGAAGATAACGGAAAGAAAAGTCCTTCGAAAAAACGGCGAATCAGACCGATTCCGATCACGTCCAAAATACCACTATATGACAAGTTGATGGCCGAGAAAGAGGAAAGGTCGGCCACGTAACGCTTTCGTCTTCACAGACAGCGTAACACCATCTCTTTTAATTTTCTGGTTTCAACATCTTCCTAACTTTGAAGATTTTACTCCTTTATTTCATATATCGTTTTATTCTTCTTATTTTTATTTCTTAAGCGGTTAAATTTCTGTCGTAGATTTATAATCCATTCCATCTCCACTATTTGGAGATCTAAAAACGAGAACGTTTGTAATTAATGTCTTCATGTTTCCGGTTTCCAGAAGTCGTATCGTGCGTGAGGAGAGCATGCTGAATCTGCTGTCGCAGGTACGACCTTTCAAGCTGGAGTGCGACCGTCGTGCTTGGCGATCCATGGCGAGGTCCAGTCCTGAGCTCTGTTCGAGCAAGAGCAGTTCTTCGCGTTTCAAGGCCAAGCCGGTGCCGCGAAACCTGTTCGGCACCGAGGTTTACGACCGTATGCTCGAGGATGAATATTATAGGTCAGCCTTACCGTTAATCGTCGCAATTTTTACACTTTCCATTTTTAAAAAAAATTTACACGTCCTTTATCTTGGTGCGCATTTAATGCACATTAGCACCACTCCACATTAGCATTTCTTTCCTGAAACAATAAAATTAAATTATTCTTTATATTCAACGTCTGGAGGAAGTGTTGGTAGTCTTTGAATTGCAAACAGATAAAAATTTTAAAAGAAATTAAATTTTAAGTTTAATTATTTTAAGGCAACTACGAGCGACTACCAATTGTTTTGCAATTCAAAGAGATTCATTTATTGAAATCTGAAAATGATAGGCGATTTAGTGAGCAAAAATCTTTTGAAGTCGAGGATTAGAAACAATTAGATTCAGCGTAAGGATTCACGCGCGCAATTCTAGACAGCTAAGGAAAAGGGTGAGAGCCGCCGAGATGCTGAAGTCTTCTTCCTTGCCGCCATCGATGGCCAGGCGTGAACGTGTGAAGTCCGCATGTGCACACTTAGAGGATGTGGCACCTGACAAGGATGAGGACGAGTCCGTCACCCCGGTGACGACATCCGACAGAGCCAGGTCCGCGATGACGTCCATGTTGTCCTCCCGTGGGAACAACCTGGCTGCGATTCTGAGATGTCAGGCCTCACGGTACGGCCTTCAATAAAAAAGATACTGGGCATTTCAGAATCTTTTATTTATATTTTTGAAAAATTGATTTTTCAAGAATGCTAGAAGAAGATCATTCGAAGAAGAAAATAAATTGTTCTGAGTTGTAAAAAAAAGTCAGATTACAATCAAACTTTAAAAGTACTTTCTACGATTTACGAGAAACTAGAGAGAATGTCGTTCGTTGATTAGTGGGATTTTATTTCGAGTCCTAACTTTTAACTTTTTCCAAATACGGCAGAGGATAATTTAATCTTTAATTAGAGGGAAATTCACGCGCGTAAATGACGATCGAAAACTCGTCGCAGAGAGAAACTGGAGCGCGACATACGGGAACGGATGGACGAGAAGCGGCGAGAACAGATGTTGAAGATCAGGGAGTCGTTGATCGGCCGGAAGCCCGCGTGGAGGGCCCTGAGATCGGCCGCGAGGTACGCATTAGATCCGTAGATCTGAGCGCCCGTCGATTTTCACGGTCGGATATTGATCTGAATGTCGCGAAAACAAGGCACGAGCACGACAGGGACCTGGACATGAGGACGTCTCTTCGTCGCGACGAGGCGCGGGAGCAGGCCGAGCGTCATCGGCTGCAGATGGAAATGATGCTGGATCGCGTAACGCAAATACCGACTCTCTTCGAACGACATTCTCAGGTATTTTTAATTCTATGCGTACGTCGTCGTGCATATACATATTACTATAATGTCACTTTCTCAAGGAAAAGCTAAATATTTGTCTATGATATTATCTTCTTTGCTACGAAAAGACATATTTTGTTGCTTTATTCATGCATCAATGTACTTTACGTAAAGTAAATAAGATTAGGCATTTTATTAATTTCTTAGGCATACAATCGAAGAAAGTATTGTGTAAGCTACGCTTTTTACGTGAACTTTACAGAGCTTTCAATCGCTCCTGAAAGCGCAACAGAAGGCACAACAGAAGGCTTTGTCGAAGAGTACTCACACCCGAAAGAAAAAAAAGAAGAAAAAGAAGCAGCAACAGCAGCAGCCGAAGAGGTCCACGTCAAGCAGTTTAGACTCGTATCTGAGCTTTGTTAGTAACTCTAGACCGAATTCCGGATCGTTAGTCAGTTCTTCCGGCACTCTGATCTCCTCGAGCCAGTCATCGTCGAAATCATCACGCGATTCCTCCGACAAGTCGGCAATTAAGTCAGAAACCTCGGCATCGAAGAGGAAGGCTGATCGCGGCCCGCTGAAAGTATCGATCAACGAAACGGCAGAATTGATCGAGGATTGCAACGAGAAATCCTCCAGCAGCGATGAACGATCTCGCAGTGATGACGTCACTGCTGAGGAACGCTCAAACTGATAATTCTAATTATCGCCAAATTATCTTGAACATCAGATTCCTAGATTATATAATTGCAATCGGATAAGTGTAATTACGCCAACTAGATACGCTAATTAGGTAAATTTCGATCAAAGTTCAGTTTAAAATTGTCTAAAGACCAAGTTTTTTTAGCTCTATTTAGATCTATTACGTCTTTCAATTACATTTCTTTCTGATACTTTCTTATTAATAAGAAGTATAAAAGTATAAAAGTAATCTGATTGAAAATTAAGCTTTTAACATTTTGACATTTCTCAAGAAAGTGCAATTCTAAGACGATCGAAGGAATCATTTGAATATCGATAATTCCGAAAAATTTCGTATTATTGCGAATGGCAGAAATACATCTTCTGGAATTTAGGGAATAAACAACACATTTTTATAAAAAAAACTTTATCGACATTATAAAGCGTAAAAACATGATATGTTAACATATAAATCATAATCACGCATCATTGTAGCACAAAAATTTATTACTCTCATTAATAATCAGGAAAAATTCGTCTCTCTCTCTCTCTCTCTCTCTCTCTCTCTCTCTCTCTCTCTCTCTCTCCCTTTTTTTTTCTCATCGAAGATATTACACGCTTATCTTATATTCGATAAGCTAACATAATTAAATCTAATTGCAGTCGCAATTTCAAGAGATCTTTAATGGGATAAAATTCTGACAATACGATACACTGTTCTAATAAAAGATCTTTATACTTTAAAAAATACTTTAAAAAATACTTTAAAAAATTCTTTAAAAATAATAACAATAATTATTTTCATTAATTATAAATACACGCTAAAAAGTGAGTTCTCTCATAAATCACCGTTTAATGTATTAAACTACCTACAACAATCGAAGTTACTCTTTTCGATCGCACTTGTTTTGTCGCAATCGATCTTTCGAAATCAATTCTATAATCAATTCCACCTATTTATCAAAAACGCCTCGAGAAATTTACGTTCTCGTTCTCCTCGCGATTTTTTGAATTATTACGTCCGCGGACACAATGTGTCAAAAATATTATGAAAGACTTGCATTTCGATTTTAATCTCTTAACGTGTCTAGGATCCAGTTCACGTAGTAGGAGACTCTGGTGTAGACTCCGGGATAGCCCTCGGTACCACAGTGTTTCAGTCCATAACTGACCACGCCATATTGAATGGTGCGTGTTACCCCCCGGTATAAACCGGGTGCTTGTAGAGGTCCACCACTGTCTCCCAAACAAGAATCCACGTTGTCCCGGCCGCCGGCACATATCTGCTTGTACCAGATCTCCGTGGTTCTCTTGTACACCTCTTTGCATTGCTCGTTGGTCACAACCGGTAATTTCGCCTGCAGAAGGTCGAAGCTGCGTGTACCCAACTCCGTCGCACCCCAGCCGGTCACCACGGCCTGATTAAAATAAAATTTTAACTTAGAAGTAAATTATTTTTGTGAAAAACAGAAGATAGATCTTTTAATAAAATGTTTTAGAAGCGATAGAGAGTTTTTGGGGAAAATTCAATAGCGTGTTGAGGAATCAATTCGAAAAAACATGGTTAATGAAATATTTCTATTTGAGAAAGAGAAAGTGTGTGAGAGAGAGAGAGAGAGAGAGAGAGAGAGAGAGAGAGAGAGAGGAGTGAGAGAATAAAAATATTAATTAGAGATAACTTTTTCAAATTATTATCAAATGGATAGTGGATTTTAATACTTTTAAATAAAATAAATGTAACGAGAATCTTTCTTTTTATTGCTTCCTGAAGATTGGAAGAAAAGAATATTAAGCCTTCTCACCTTTCTATGCACTAACGTCGCTCCAGTACCGAAGGGTAGACAAATGGGCCTGACATTTCGAGGCCTAAAGTCTATGGAACCGTTCAACCTGATAAGCGCGATATCATTTTGTAGTTTCGATCTTGAGTAATCCGGATGGACATGGAAGCTCTCTAGGGCGAAATCCTGATATCTCTCAGCGCAATCCAACTCGAGCCCTTCGTCATTTGTATCGCAGTCACGTTCCTTGCTTATATCGTGATCTCCTACCCTCGCACCTATCAATCTAAGACCTGGAGAATAATAACAAGTCATATAAATCTAGACCAATTACAAAAGATAAAGACTTGACTAAGAACGATGTACCTTCTTAAATATATTATTTTAAATCTAAATTTTAGTTTTTTTTTCTTTTTCTAAAAAGATTTAAAATATTCCAACTTTTGTCCCGTTTAAAACGCTACGTGAATTTTCCTTACCAGATGGAAGGAACGTGACGCAATGAGCGGCGGTAAGGATATAGCGTTTAGTGATAATCGTGCCACCACAGCGAAATTCCGGATTCGGTTTTCCAGTGTCGTAAGCGATTAACGCCATCCACGGATACTGGAAAACTGCAGTTTTGTTGCCGTTGATCACCCTCCGCTGATTGGCAGTTCCGCATATTTGATGATCCAATAGACGCATATTTGGATGATCTGTCACATCTGGTGGAGGTGGAACGACATTTGATTCTTCTGTCGTCGTCGTCGTTGGCGTCGTTGATGTCTGTTGAAATTAATATTTAACTTGAGAAAAAACGGAAAGCAACACTTAAATTTAATTTACTTTTGCATAAGAAAATGGAAATTTAACAAAAAAATTTTTAAATATACAGTTACAATTTAGGAGAAATTTTACCGTTGCTTTATTAATTAAAATAATATTTTTACAAAAAAATTATAAGAATAAAGGCATTAAAAGTAGAAATATCTTTATAATTTGTTATTATCTTTGGAAAATCAGTCATCAAATTAAAATAATTTTAATTGCTGCAGAATTTACTCTTATTTGTACTTATTGTTGTACATTATTCTAATCAAACATTTTACCAATTTCAGATTTTAACGAATGAAGCTTCAATCGATATTACTAGTACAACAAGATCAGGATAAGACATAAAGCCGAGATCGCAGAAACCTGTTTCAACGTTATTTTAGAAGACTAAACGGTCGCAACGATGCATCCTTGTTACATACAAACAATGAGACAGTGACGTGTAATATATACAATTTGATATATGAAAATGATAAAAAAACATTAACTCACTTGATAAATATTAATGGTCTCTTATAAATTAATAATCTTTATTTACTTAAACTTTATTTACTTAAAAAAAAACAGAAATTGAAGACAAATAGAAAAGTAAAATCACACATTCATACAAAATTGCTATACTAATTTATTCGCGAAAGATGTACAATTCTCTAGCAATTATGTTTTTAATTAAAATTTATCTTTAGTTTATTTTTACTTAATTTTTAAATAAATTTAAATTCAAAATATTATACTAAATTTAATTTAACTGAGATTAAATTGTTACGTACTATTTAATTTTATTTAATTTTATTATTTAATTTTATTCAATTTGATTTCGACGAACTGGTTAGTTTTCTTTAGAATAATTACCTGGCCTGGACAGCAAACCATTGGGTCGTTGCCCTGGTAGCCACATTGCGAGTTTCTGAGGGTTTGCAGTACCTCTGCCGAAAGCGGCCTTGGACCTCTTAAAATTTCTACGATAGCCGGACAATCGCGAATATTAATACAATTGGCACTTCCTTCTGAGCATTGACTTTCTGTAATGATAAGCAGCAATGATATCATTCGTAATATTCATTCAATGAAATTAATTTTTTAAGTAGTAATTTTCTAAACACACGATTTTTAGACTTTGTCGAAGTTTTGAATCAATCTGACACATCAGTTTGCAAGTAGATGTTTCGAAATAACTTTGAGTATTTTAAATTGGATTTATTTACGAAAAATGCTATATAAATGTACACGAGAATTAGATAAATTATTTGACATTAGATATACGAATTGTATTTAATATATAAAATAATATGCTCGAATTTATTAAAAATTTAGTTTAAAAAAATTTATTATTAAAATTTTATTATGAGAATACCTAGAAGAACTTGATTCGTATCTTTTTTTCAGATGAGAAAGCCTAGCCGATGACAACGTCTACTTACGTGCATCGATTGTTGATAGAGCGAGTAAAAGGACGAGGAAGCCGATGGACGTCATGTTTATTTGTGGTATCAGTATGTATCTATTTGCCACTCAATCTCGAAATTGCGCTAACTATTCTTCTTTCCTCTTTTTCTCTCCTTCATCGGTCGGAGCGAGTCAGGAATTTTTCTTTCGTTTCGCTCCGATGGTTCTCGTCAGTTTACGCTTCGGACAGAGTACTCTGTTGGAGAACGTCGTGCTGGTAATTCCACCTACGTCAGTCCGTCGTCTCGAGTCGACACTCGAAGTCGAGTTGTTTGTATCACGAGTGAGTCCAAAACCAGTACTAATCGCCTACTCGCGAGTTGGACGCCAATCGACTAAGCTTCTCCACTACTTGTTGGGCCCATTAAAACCGCCTAGTCGGTGGGGGACGATTGTCGATGATCCATTCGTCGTCATGATTCGTTGTAGATAAAATCCCGATTCGCAAGACGTGCGATTCCGTGAAAATCGGAAACGCCTGAACTTTCCTTGAGGAGAAATTCCATTATGCTTTTGTACAGTACAATATAAAGGATGATTCGTTATCGCACGAATTAATTGCTTTCGGGGGATTTAATACTGTTGACTCACATTCCTTTTATGTGGAAATAATGCTATACACGTCTGTAACAGAATGTCTTTGTCTTCTGAATAGACGTGTGCCTTTAATAAAATCAGAATTGATCTTTTATTAGAAAAAAATTCCACGAACTTTATTTACAATAGGAAGGAAGATTTGCAAACTTGTACCTTTTATATGGCAAAATATTACTTTATTGTCTGTTTATCAAATCAAAAGTTTGATTTGTGATTTTCTTTATTACAGTCTTTTAATTAAATTGTAAAAGGTATAACACAATGACTTTCAAAATTGAATAAATCGAAAAAATTAATTAAATTAAATGGCTAATAAGAGTTAATTATTCGAATCGAAACGTTCGAATTCGATCTTAGCCATTTAATTTCTTTATATTAGTCTTTTAATTTCTTATTATTTGCATTTGAAAAATTATGTAATTCTTCAGTTTTAACCGCATATCAACAATTTCAAAACCTTTTCGTGCTATTCTTAGTTCTGAAATCATTGATGATTAAACAAACATATATTTGTTTCTATCATTTAAACTAATTTTAATTAGCAGCATCAACTGCTGGATTTTTTCTAAAAAAAGAATGTTTATTAAAATTAAAATAAAGAAACAAAATTAATATTTTTTTAATAAAAAATAATGTCGTTTAAAAATAAAATTAAAAGATAGAAAGATAATGGACAGTCATAGAGAAGTCTTTTCTTGAAAGCATTTTTGAAAAGGAGATACAATGGACGGTAAGAGGTAAAATAAGATAAAAGGGAAAAAGGGAGTCGGTTAAAACGTCGCATCCTCTTCAACGAAGCATCTTTCTTAGAATCAGATAATGTCTGTTAAAAAAAAAAGAAAGAAACGTACATTTCATTGAAACCCTACAATACTATAGCAATTTTACCTTCGCCGTTTCATTTTTCTGATTGTTTTTCTTTCTTTTTAAACTTGAAAAATATTAAATGCAATTGATTAAAGATTATATGCTCGATTTTGGAAGATAAAACCAAGAAAACCAAGAAATATCACAAGAAAAATATGATCGTGAATAAATGTCATGATTTTATAATCACCAAAAGGGACTTCCTCACAAAAACATTGCTTTATTATCGGACTCACACAAGACAATCATGTGTTATTCTTTTGAACATACAATCATTAATTATCATTGAATAAGGAAAGTTACGACAAACTACTTTCCTCTAAATTGAATAACGGAAAAGATATTGTCTGACTTATCTGTAGACTTATTTGTTATTCACTTCAAGTCTCGTTCATCCAAGAAATCTTTCATGATATCGAAAATGTATTCATCAAAAGATGATTAATTAAAAAGTTAATAACATTATGATTAGCAATAATTAACGACTGCTGAGTTCTTAAATATTATTCTTTCAGTTGTAAAAAAAATTCACGATAGTTTGTTTTTTCTTTCAAAATAATATATTTTTAATTTTTGAAAGCCTAGAGAGAATTTATTATTAATAATTTATTATTAATAATATTAATTAATCAAGTTTATTTTTTAACTCAACTATGTGCGACGTTCTTGATCATGCTTTTCGAAGTTGATTGGTATAAAAATTACTATGACGTGATAACGATGATATCAATGGGTCAATTTTCATAATGACCCGCGCGCATTGATAATTCTAAGGTCAAAACGAAGATGGAAATACCGAAGGATGTAATCGTTGATCACATAATGTTGTAATTCAGTAATTCGCGATTTTATGTTATATTTTCCTCGAAAGAAGATAGACTTACCAGGAAATTAGTTTACTTTTTTTATATGTCGAACAAACAAAAATGCAGATAAATAGGATTGCAAATAATGTTGCAATCCGTTAATAGTTAACACATTTTCCGGAAATATAAATATTTATCCACGCGCATCAAAGATTAATTACATTGTGATGATAAAAATGATGTAAAACAAGGAATAATAAGGAAAATGACGAAAGTATGGTAGTACAAATGTTAAACACATATTTTCATATGCAAGAGAATTATTTAAAAAAATGTTAAAATAATTAAAGAAGTAAAAGAAAGAAAGAGAGGAAAAAAAAGAAGATTAATAACTAATTCATTTGAGAAAGAATTTCTATTTATTTTTATTAAAATCGTTATAAACTTAAAAATATCTTTTTCTGCTATCTTCTAACATTTTTTTACAATATTAACATCTTAATAATCATGAATTTTGTTTTAATTTTGTAATTAACTACATTTTGTTTAAATAAAAAATATCTATAAATTCTGCTATAAAATATGTCGTTATAAATGCAATCAATAAAATTTTAGCAATTAACATCACTTAACTATATATTTAATATTATTGAGTATATTCATGAGTTTCTATATATATAAAAAACAGACTATTGATGTTTCTTTATTCAGCAACAAAGCTATTGCACCATCCTTTAACATTAAATTGAACACTAAATTTAAGGAAGAGAAAAATATACTTGATCATTACTACATAATGACAATGTAAATAATTTTATTTTTTTCTTCATTAGAATTTGAAATCTTTTTTACTGTACTTGGTTTATCAATTTTTTCCAGATAGACATTTTTGATAAACATTTAATATGTATTATTTTAATAACATATAAATGTATGTGGACAAATTAATCCTACCAAAGGACGCAATTCAGATTACTAATGTGCGAAAGCACATTGGTTCGTGTAATGATTCATATAATTTCAATTCTGCACGTTTTACAAAAATATTGTTATTGATGATCAGGAAATAATTTCCTTCGTAAATGACGTCTCGCTTTACGGCCTCATTTTACTAAGAATCCAAGGAACAAAGTCCATCACTTTCGTGTACACACCAGGCCATCCTTGCATACCGCATGGCGACGGTCCGAAGGATACAACACCCACGGCTGTCCACCTGCCGTCACCATTGGGGAGCCTCTCGACGGCCATCAGGGGACCACCCGAGTCACCGCGACAAGAGTCCTTGCCTCTCTGGCCGCCCGCGCAAATTTGCCCATAGCCCAGTCGAACCCCGGCGATGTTGTAGGTCTGGTCGCATTGCTCCATATCCGCCAACGGCAAACCCAGCTTCAGTTTGACGTTCGAGGCCGAGCGGTTCTCCGTCTTGCCCCAACCGGCTACGAAAAGCTTGCCGTTGAGCGATGCGCTGGACGATGGCAGGCAGATTGCTTTAATGTAAGTGGTGAATTGCACATCGTGGCTGAGACGCAACAGCGCAATATCGTAACGTTGATCCCGCGACTGCGGCCGGTATTCCTCGTGGGCGATCTTCTCCTCCACGCCCACGGTTATCGGATCGTCAGCACACACTATAGTATCATCGCCGTCCGGCACGCAGTCCCTCTCGGTATCGGTGTCATATTCACCCAACCGGACGCCGGTCAAGCGCCAAGTGGTTGGTAGATCCTTGCCTTTGATACAATGAGCAGCAGTGAGGACGTAACGCTTACTGATCAGGACACCGCCGCACGCCGTCGTTCTTCCGTTGGCTGTAATTTCGAAAAATATTTAAAAATTCGACGTCGATACGTCTCGATACAATTTGTAATGAATTAAAAAATTAATTTAATAATTGCTTATGTGTATAATAATAAACATTTATATGTAATTTCACGTTCAAATTGGATTATATTTTCAAATCTAGAAAAGTAATTCTCAATCTTACCATAGAAAATTTAATTGCAAAGTAAACATTTTGCTAGTTAACTTATAATTATACATGATATCTATATAATGATAAGTTAATAACTAGCAAAATGTTTACTCGTCTCTGTCTATAATTATATAATTATGGGCAAAATATTCAAATTAGAATCGAAAAAAGAAAATCTCAGATTTAATTCAATTTACCGTCAGGAATCTTTTCTGTTAAAAAAGAACAGTATGACTTTTTTTAACAGTAAAATAAGAGCGCATTCAGGTTCACGCATATGTGTGCATGATTTTACAACAAACGTTGTTAATTAAAAGTTATGTTATTTAATAATTTGATTCAAATCAAACTTTTTATTCGGATTCAAAAAAGAAATTTAATTCGATCTGTCATCAAGAATTCTTGATTCGTACATTCATAATTAATTCTCTACTCACGTTTTTGATATTCCAACAGTGCCATCCAGGGGAACTCGTTGAGTTCGGTGCGTTCACCTCCGAGAAGCTTCTGCGACAGATCAATGCCACACTCTTCTGGCAGTAACGGATTGTTGGCTAAATTTACTCGAATCTCAGTCGGGGTGGTTTCCGCATAGGAAGTCTGGGTAGTTCCGGGGTTCACTAGAGAGCTACCCGGACGGGTTTCGACGTTCGTGCTATTGATGCAGCATATCAATGGGTTCGAACCGTCGAAACCGCAGTGATTTTGTCTCAAATAGTTGATGGCCTGCTCCCGTGATTGCTGCAGGATGTTGGCCACCAAGGTACAGTCACGCGCGTTTATACATTTGCCTGGTTGACCGTCAACTCTGCATTCCGTCCGCGAGCTTTGATATTCTGCGAAAAATAAAAGAGGTATTATAAAACGAAAAAACACAGATTAAGACTATGAGGCTCGGAAGATGTAAAATCTAAATGTGTACAATAAACTGGACTGTACGAGCCAAGTTAGGTATAAATCGCTGTTTATATATTGAAAATAAGTAATATAAATAATAACTAGTTGCATTTACGTGACAAACGTTTCGACCTTTAATATGGTCTTCATCGGTGTATAAAAATTCGCTATGATGATTTAGTTATGACATAATTTCGGTTTCGTTACAAATAGGAGCGCCTTACTATCAATATATGAAGTCTGCGTTGTCGCATCATTCGGAGACTGGTGCAAATTAGGAACAATTGTTGGTAGTACATTGATTTGAATTAAAAGCAAAGTAATCAGAGTTCCGAAAAGAAGTCCGCTTAGGATCATGCGCAACCAGCAATTAAAAATCATTTATAAGCTAGAAAAATATATCCAAAAAATAATTTAAAAACCAGATTGAGAAAATAAAATTGATGTAAAAATGGGTTATTAAATTAGATGATTTGAGACGGAATAAACAATAATAATAACAATATAAAAATTGAAGGCTAATTACGAAATGCTTCGAATAATCATGTTAAGATAGCTTAATTAATAGAAATAATGGATGTGAACGACAATTAAAAATTGGTTGTACCTGATCGGAAGTAGTCGAAAAAGATGTATACAACAAAGGATCCGCTCTCAAGAGTGGCCAAGACAATTGTGGGAGTAAGAGTAAAGAAGGAAGGTTAAAAACAAACGAAAAGAAAAACAGAGGGAAAGATAAAGAAGGGGAAAGAAAGAGATGAAATTAGGCAGAAAATAAAGATTCAAAGAAAGGGAGTTAAGAATCGGGGAGGGAGTTCAGGGCAGAGAGTCCTCTCTGTTTGTTCAGGCCTTGTAGTTGCTTTTTAATATGCACCATTTCAGAAACAAGTCTTTTTGTAAAGCAAGATTCCTTGTCTGCTTCTATTTGTAACGAAACCGAGTTTGAGTATGCCATAACTAATTGCGAATATCATAGCGAATTTTTATACACTGATGAAGACCATATTAAAGGTCGAAACATTTGTAACGTAAATGTAACTTATTATTATTTATATTATTTATTTTCAATATATAAACAGCGATCTATACCTAGCTTGGCTACAATCCAGTTTATTGTACACGAAAGGACACAATTAATTATTGAATATTAGAATCTCAAAAGAGATATTTAATATCCTGTACCATACGTACAAATCTTAACTTCAATGAATTAAAAATGAATTTCCTCTTAGCGGGAATACCGCGATTTAATGGCTTGGGTAAAAAGCTTTTTGAAATAGGAAGATAATAACTTTGCATAATAGCATTGATTTTTAATAAAATGCGCAATTTTTTTGTGCGACAACATTCCTTGTTTAATAGCATTTAGAATGTCATCTACCAAGAATTTTCAGTCTTCCGAACGAGAAGAACTGGTCAGTATATATGTTTTCGTAGAAGCGGCTTCTTACACGATTCAATATTATACGATATTAACATTATTTGTACGAGTAAACATGTATTGATTATTGGTGATACATTAATAAAATACAAGTTTATAAGCGATATAAATTATCGCTTATGAGATATACATGATTGTTATCAATCGAAATGTTGCAACGTGAGAGATCAAATAAACTCCATAGGCGATACCTGTTTCCTGATTACCAACGCTGCCCATTAATTCGATGACGTGATGTAAAATAATGTCGCGCACAATTCGAGAAACACAGTGGGAAACTGACACTTGGCTTTTGTTTTCGTGGAAACGCGAAAGATTGATAACGTCACGAGTTAGATTAATCGCTTCCCGCGACGATTATGTTTCTATTCATCGAAATTAAATTTGAAATACAAAGTATCGCATCGAGGCTTCACGTGTAATGCATTGCAATGAATTGCTAATGCTTTGTATATTTTGTACAAGCAAATCTTGTATACGGTTAATGTTTTACTCTCTTTCGTCACATGTTATATTAATGAAAAAAAATTAGAAGTTATAGAAAAATACAATTAAACATTATTGAAATTAAAAATTAAAATATTCTACATTATAATTATTTTACTCGTTGTAAAAAAAGTTGCAAGTCGTTTTTCGATAAGAAAAAATTACAACAATGAAAACTTTAATGGTCTACTGAAGATATCAAATAATGTATGCGAAACTTTTATATAACCGGATATAATCCTATTCTTCCCCGACTTTATTCGTTTGCTATAAACTATCATATTTGTGTTGAATTATCGATATCTTTGATAAACCAATTGAAGTAACTCTTATCTTTTAAATATAGACAATGGAAATGTTTCATAAATTCGAACAAGACACAAACAAGATTATTTAAAGAAAGGCCTTTTGGAAGATATCAGGATATTTTCTATGCAACTTTATAATATTTCTCACTTTTCAGGGTGCAAAAGAGCAAACATAAATATAAATTAAAATTAATGAGCCTTTAACTTTGATCCTTGAACTGACGTTGATGTTGCGTTTTATGTAATATGAAGAACTTACGCGCATTGATGTTGACGACCAGCAACGTCAGAACTTTGAGAAACACTCGGAAACTTGACGTCGACATCCTCGGGAAATTATTCAAATTTATTACTAAATAAATCGAATGTCAAGAGATGATCACAGCACAATTTGATAACGAGGATTCGCTTGGCTCTCGGCAGCTCCTTCCGTTTTATTGCCGTTGCGCAGGAGAGCAAACTGACAGTGGTAACCATGATAGAGTGACCGGAGCCAGGGTCAACAACTATCTGTCCCCACCACTGTCAATAGACTTCTCCAGACTAATTAGCAGGAGCGGATCGGATAAAGAAAATTCGTGTTTCCATCGTGATGAAACTGCGGATATATCTTGAGAAAAGAAGTCTAAAATTGCGAAACGAAACTTTTTCCTAATTATTATAAGAAATAATTGTATCTCGTGTAAGCTTTTAATTATAAAATGTTGTTTACAATAATTATAACTACAATATTTTTTAATTATAATGATAATGATATTATTTTAATTATAATAATGATTATAATTACAAGAAAAATTATTGGCGTCAAAATAAATATAAAATTAATATCGATTATATACTAACATTGTTTTCAAACATCATGCCGATCTTCACAACTTCTAGCACATCGGGGATTCCCACGGTGAATTCCAGTTCGTTCCTGACTTATTTAATAACTAATAATAGTAATCTTTCTTGATATATTTTCTTGCTTTCTCGTTGGCGGCGTGTTTTTTCTCAGAGTTCTCAAAAATTATTAATGATCAGCTTCTCTCATTTTGTGTTTTGTGTTTTATTAAAAAATAAGATTAATGTATTAATAATATTTTGATATGTATTCTAGTAAACATCTGTCATTCCAATTTAATTTATCGTAAATATGAAGAAATAAGAATGTGCTTTTCTGAAAGATTTAAAAATCTGATAAATTTATCAGAAATCGGCTCTTTTTCTTCAGATCTAATTCGTCGGATTTTTGTTTTTTTTTCTTACCAGGCTTATATAGTTTAAAAAATCTATTCTAAAGAGACTTATAATACCGAGGCTTATAACCTTGACATCATTAAAGAAATTGAGCTTCATCGAAGAATTGATCTCTGAATTATCAGAATTAGAATTGTGAATTTAATACAAACAAATATGTACTTTTTATTAATAGCCTTGAGTCATCGATAGTCTTCGTCCAACTGTAACGGTATGATTATTTTAATATGCGCGCATTATCGCGTAACGCATAATTTATGCATAATAGCATAATACAGAATGCGTTCTATTGACACAGATTCGCAAAGACGTGCAGATTTACGTCTATACATTAAATAAAAATCGCAAAGTTTATTCTGTTTTATGCTGCCAAGAAAGTTAAGGCTTTCCCCCTAGATTTGATATCGTAAGAAAATAGAATAACGCCTCATCTACGGGAGAAATCATGATCGCTGTTTCATATTTAATTATTGTAGTTGCGAGTGGATTGACGTGCGTTAAGCGAAAAAAAAAGTGATTCAGTCTTCGTGAACGTGGAAAAAAACGGTCGCTCGACGATGTTGCGTGCACATCCGACGCAATCCAGATCTGGCTAGGCGGGAACATCCCGACTTCCCCGAGTATTCGGTAATGCATCATACGTGACGCAAATCATGTAGAAAGATCGGATGTTGCGGTCGCGTTTCTACAAAGATCGCAACGTTTAAATGTAAGATCGATTTAATTGAATCAATTTAGAAATATATTCGAATCGTATCGCAATTTCAATCGAACACATTAGACTTAAATTAATTCCCACGTGGTCGTTAACGGATTACATATGCGAATAATAAAAACGTGTGCGAATAGTTTTAGTGAAAGAAATTCTGCGAGATTACGGATTTTCTGCTGAATTCGTGTTTTGTAAATGATTTTACAAGGTAATTACATCCGCGAGTGATCAGGTGCTTGCAAAATGGGACAATTCTGTAGTTTTGTTCAAGGCTCGGGATGGCTGCAATATAACATGTTTTTATTTAAATATCTTTATTTTTAGAACGGTTCCCTTCCAATTATAAATTATCTATACTAATAGTGTATTTTATGTGCATATTATAGATTGTTTTTTATATAATTTAGGATATTAATGTCAAGCTTATTAATTATAAATTGAATAAAATTTATAAATATAAGCTATATTCCAAATAAAAAAAATACGCTTTCCAAATAGAGCTATTTTAAACGCGAAATCTCGTCGACATTCCGATATAATAAAAGTCTCCCCAGTAAAGTAGATTATAAATTGTTCTCTTCAGCTTTGCACCGTTCACCTTTCCTGTTTTTTTTTCTCTAACGTAGAGAGAAAAATATATATATATAAAAACGGTGCAAGAAGTTCAACTCAAGAAGAATAGATCTTTAATAATTTTACTTCGATCTGAATGTCTTGGTGTCTTCACGGATGCATTTGGTCGAGAATCCATGTAATGTACATGGCGACATTGCTGTAGATAGCAGGCGTTGTAGAAGCGCCGCAGGATTTGGCGCCGAAGGAAACGATGCCGATCAAATGATATCTAGGAGGTCCATTCAAACTCTCCACTTTCATCAAGGGCCCGCCGCTGTCACCACCGCAGGAATCCTGGCCCGGAATCCCGCCCACGCACATCTGCTGATTCCCCGAAACGTCGGCGTAACTCTTGAAAGCTATCACGCACTTGTCCATCTCGACTATCGGCAGTTTGACTGTCTGCAGGATCGTGCTGGGCTTCGGGTCATCTAAACATCGAAACAATTTATAGATTTTACTAAAATCCAGATCCAGGATTTACAATTATAAGTGTAACATAAGTATAACATAAACACGAGACTAAGCTGTCTAAACTTGCATTAGAATTTCTTTAGAAAATTTTTTAATCCACCTCGAAGCTAATTATTTAAGTATCAATATAAAATTTACTTAATATATTTTAATTTAAATTAACTTGAATGCCTTACTAATATCATAAATTCCCCAACCAGCGACTTCCGCAATCTCGCCGACGAAGTTCTTTTTGAGCAGTTCACCGCTCATCATGCAAATGGGCCTCACATGCTCTGTGTTTTAAAAAGAAAAAAATATTTTATCTTCTTAAACTTTCAAGAATGAGCAGATAGAATATAATAGACTATTAACTGCTATGTAACATAAAAATAATATGTGACACAACAGATGTTACATTTTAGTTACATTTTGTTATAATTTGCTGAGAAAGACTGAAGTCGATTGAATAAAAGTAGATTAATTTATGAATTTACCGTTATAAAGTACTGGCTTGTTCAATCGTATCATGGCTATATCATTCTTGTACCTCGGATTGTTGTAATCCTTATGGACGATTATGGATTCGGGTAGAAAATCTTGTACTGACTCCGCGCAATATCCTTGCTCGCAATCAGGATCAGTCAGAGTATTGTGCTCACCCAAACGAATTCCACCAACCTTAAAACTTAGATATATTTTCTTATACATTATTAAGTAATAATTAAGAATTATAACAGAATAAGTCGAATCAAGAAAACATAATTTTTTTTATTAAAATTCTCGAATTATTTGGAACTGGCTCTTCGACTTCGATTTCCATTCTAAAGTTAATAAATATTGTATAAAACGTCGATCGTTCTACGTGAACTGTTGTGACGTAACGATCATGAGCTCATTTCTCATCCTTTCTAATTGATTGAAAATAATTACTCTGAATTTCGTATGCATCGATAAACTTCGTCAAAATCTCGTTTCTTTATTTTTCTTTAATATTTTTACATACTTTTCAGGCAGATCCGTCACGCAATGGGCAGCTGTAACTATATAACGTTTGTTGATCAACGAACCACCACATCTATAGCTTAACTCATCGTCACCAAGTCTGTTGTATCCTATTCTCGCGATCCAAGGATATGCACCGAGACTCGCATTCTTACCGCCGATAATGCGATCGCTGTTTGAATTACCACAACTACCTTGTTTCAGCAACGACCAGCTAGGATGTTTTGTTACATCGACTACAATAGATCATTAAATCTAATAGGAATTTAGTATCTCTTAATAGAAAAGATTTTTCATTACGAAAGATATTTTGTAGATTTTACTTTAAGGAAATTTAACTATATTTTTTTATCTCAAAGTCTTCGATTATCCACAATTTTAACTTGCATTATTTCAAAATCGCATTTACTTCCAATCTCAGATTATAGAAAACTTACTCATGGAAAATCCTATGGAAATATTGTACAAAAATACGAGCATACAAGGTAGTGGATATCGCATTCTGCCTGAAAACTGGAAAGTAAGTAAAGAAATAACTGTTAGAATTAATTTTATAATGTTGCAATTTTAAAGAGCTACCTTTTTTTTTGTCTTTCTTTTTATTATAATATTTGGAAAACGTAACTTGTATGTCAATATATGCAAGTAGATTTTTTTATCAATACATCTTGCACTGTTTCGGAATTATTATTTATTACTATCTTACCACAAATCGCAGCAGCATTATGCACAAAATCCTCGTTTTCCGTCAAGTGTTGCACTCAGACTGCATCCAGTATCGCTGAGATTCATTAATCTCCCGCATGCTTATCTCCGTATCGAAAGTGAATTACGGCTTAGTCGATAAATCTTTATAACTCGCTCACTGTAACTTTGGCGTGTATTAATTATTCATCGCACACACTTGAAGTTCCAAATAAGGTATCTTTCTTTTAAGTGTTTGCTAAATTATCAAATTCTTTTTGCAAATTATAAAATAAAAATTATTATATTTTCTACCAACAACAATTAATCGCAATTGTTTAATATTTTTTATTATAATAAGATAATAGGTTTTAAATTAATGCAATGCAATAATATAATACAGAGCAATCAAGTTAATTTAAAAAAACATGAGGATAATAATGAAAATTAATTTTAATCCAATGTTGCGAATTGTAAGAACAAATATCCCACAGTTCAACATTGCAATTCATCACGGTTCAACATTTCAATCACATATTTTATTGCAATAAAAAATTTTTATAAAGTCTCACAAAAAATGGAAGATTACATTTATAGGAAAGAAATGAAAAACGTTGAATGTACTAGAAAAACTTTTTTCAAGTAAATAACACAATTGGATTACAATAACACAATTTATTGTAACCCAGTTTATTAACTATAAAATTAACTATAATAATTTATTGTATGAATAGTAATAATTCATAAATGATTTCATAAGTAAATATTAACATTTGTTATTTGAATAAGAGAGATTTTATCAGTATTTACAAAACATACATGCAATATATGATTATTACTAACACAAAATATCAGTATCGACACACAAAGTATCGACAATTCACTCCTGAAAAATTCTTTAGTCAGACTTATTAAGTCCATTGATAAATCCCGTCCAAAGATCCTAATGATCAACTTATTTCATTTGATCTTTTTTATTTCTTCTTCTCTCAAGAATCTTTCTTCGTGTGAAATTCTATTTTTATCGTTTCATGATTGTCAATTTCCATTTTTCGAAATTGTCGTTGACGTTGTTAATATGACGAAAAGTTTTGACTCTTTTTCTCTCGACGTTGAAGAAAAAAAGAAATGATGAATGTAAAAGAGATCTATAATACTATGTGACATCACCACACATATATATTTACCAATATATTTATATTTTCACGTACAAAAATCTTTAAAATATTTTGCAGAGAACTCCAAGAAGTTAGAAATTCAATCGTGCTATCAAAGATAAATCAGCTTAAGATAATCTTGCATCCGCAACATTATTGATAAGGATCCGTATTCCGTAATGATCTTATCGTGCTCGATCTCGAACACATATCAGAACATAGAAAACTCAAAGAAAATATAGAAACTAAATCATTATATCTTAATTATCAGCATATATCATATCGAAATATATCATATCGAAATATATTATATACGAAATATAAATACAAAATATATCAAATCTTATCCAAATCAATGTTAAGCGTTTGGAGACTTTGTTTAGCAATTGTGCCAGATGATTTCTGTAATTAAGTGACCGATGTACATTGGAATCTTAGCCTCATTTTAGCCTTCTGAAAAATATAGAAGTTAATACTGTAGCAGAAATAAAATAAAAAATTAAGTTATAATATAAAATTTATATAAAATAATAATAAAAAGACTACTGGAAAAGTTAGAAGAAAGAAATACGGAAGAAATCTTATTAATAATAAAAAAACGAAAACGAGCATGGCATAGTAGCGCGTTGGCTTTAGTATGATTATTAGAGATCCCGGGTTCAAGTACCAGTAGGATCAAAATGTTTTTATAAAATATATTTATTTTATAAAATATATATATTGATAGATAGAGTCTCCAGGCTAGTTCACATCGAAAAATTGAAATAATTAGATAAGATTTGATATATTTCGTATGCGATAATTAGGATATTATGATTTAGTTTCTATATTTTCTTTAAGCTCCTTTTGTTTTAAGTATTTCTTATGACCTGATAATTATATATAGTTTAATTAAAGTAAATTTATAAATATATATTTTATATGCACCTAATATAATATCTAATACGTATATAACAGATTTCTTATATAGTTTTTTTATAATTTAACGAATGAATAATTAATAATAATAATAATTAATAATAATAATTGGTCAATTTATCAATTATGACCTGATCAACCCCTAATCATAGTTGATTATTCTCCTATTTTTTGACTATTCGTCCATTTCTTATGGCTTAAGGCTTAAATCATCTATCGTAGACCGGGACTAAAACTATGTACTATATTTGGCGCACGTGCCAAATAAGCCACCAAAAGAATGCAATATGGCAACCCAACACGTGTGGTATTGGCTGCGTTTCGAAATTCACTGTCAGTACTAAAAATCTATATTATACGTGACCTGAACTATATATTTTCAGTACTGGCAGTGAATATCGAAATGCATTGTAATACACTAACATAAGATTTTCTTAGTTAGGTTATTGCAGTTCTGAAAATTATTTTATAAAAATGCCATCAAAATGTGTAATAAGTGAGTGTACCTTATAAATTAAACCTGTACAAACTAAAAATTGCAAAATTTCTTTTTTTAATAAGTACACAGAAGTATATAACATTTTACACATATATAGGGATGATTTATACACAATTACACGAATAAAATATTTTAAAATATTCTAGATTTTTTAACTCTAAATTTTTATATCTAAATTTATTTGTTTTTTTTTCAATTTTACTGAAAAAAAATTAATAATTTATTTATGTGAAGACGCCAGTCAGAAAAAGCATTCTTTCGGTGGCTTATTTCGCGCGAGTTTATATACATCAAGAGACTCTACTTCAGCTGACGCAGCCATTTTTAAATCGACTCGCGCATTTCGCGGGAAATACATACGGTGTCTTTTTTATTCTCGCTTTTTTTCAAACATACTTTTTTAATTATTTCCATAGTTATAAATAAAAAAAAGTGAAGATATAAAAAACTGACGGTGATGACAGTCTTCAAATGATAATCTTCTAAATTTTACAAAATCGGAAAATAAATAAAATATTCAAATAAAAAATATACAAAGACTTCATGAATATTTCATTCTGACATTCGTTATTTATTTTCTTAAAAATGATAGTTACAAAAGGATCGTGGATACTTAAATGTAATACTTAAAATTAAATATTACGTAAACGGCGCGATTACCCAGGAGAATTAGTCTACTTTCAAATTATGTACACCCGTAGGAACATTATCGTACAATGTTTTTTTGCCGAGGACCGACTCTGGAATCAGAAACGCTCTCAGACCGAGAAAAAATTCTAGACCATTCCTTATTCCCTCAGTCACCCTGCGAAATTGGGGAACCGCGATCACGTTTCGACGAGGCCTTCCCCTTGCCTTTGGATTTGGTCTCTCGTTTTCGGCTGATTGATGAGGTCGACGTGGTTGAGGCCGAATCGGCCGGGCTAGAATGACTCGAACCCTCTCGGTCCCATCTCGTTAACGTATCGCGAAGATTTTGGCTATCGTTCTCCTCGTACGTATCCACGTCGACGTGAAGGTTGTCCTGACCATTGGACTCAAGATTGGCACGTATCTCCTTACGCTGATCGTCGGTATGCTGAGGACAGCGTACCGATCTGGTACATAGTTTTTTTGTGTGCTCGGATACGACTCCGCATATTTGCGTAAGCAGTGCCCGTTTGTCTACAAGCGACATATTCTCGTAATTCGATGGCGAGCTCTCGTTGCTACTATGCACGTTGTGCTCGCCACCGCTGCCGCCGACAATAGTGGTAGTCTCACCATTTCTCTGCGCACCGCTACCACCAGCAGCGGTATTACCCTGTTGTTTTTGCTGCTTGCCCGAGCGTTTGCTCACGCCGTTGCGATCCTTCCGTGGACGTTTGCGCTTGTTGCCACTGTCATTGGTCAGACTCCAGTCAACGTCATCGTCGTCGTCGCTCAGAACGCCGCCGTAATTGTTCAGATCCTTGGAGTTATTCGCGATACGAAGTGATGCAATACGCGAGCTGTTCCTGCCCATACCCATGCATTTTGCCAGATGAGTGGCAAATCTGCATGCTGCCACGCCGCGCTCGCAATTCGGACAATTGCATTCTTGGGATTTCTTCATTGGATGTTGGCCGAACACATCTAGACCGGGCGAATCTAAAACATAGTGAAAGGAATTTGTAAAGAATTCCTCTTCAGGATTTACTCTCAATCTCTGCAATTGTTCCATTTAAATCATATTCTCCTTAAATTGCTAAAAGTTAATGTTTTTATGTACCGACAATGGCGTAAGATTTATCATCGGGAATGCCTTCCTCGACGTCAGAACTACCAGTCTTCGTTGTACGATGCATATCAAAGACAAAGCCCATCAGAACCTCATCCAACAAGTCCTCGTAAATCTCTTTTGTGGCTGCCTCGACGTTTTCTGGTTTGCTCATGAAATCCAAGAAACGCCGGTTCAGCTCCTGTATTCTTTCTTCAGTCACTGACATCTTGGCTTTGGAAACAGGTTTTTTGTTTTTATTTACAACTGCAAATAGAAAAATATTTAAGATAAATAATTATAATTATAATTCGATCATAATTTAGATAATTCTTGACTATCTACAAAAAATAAATTAAAAACATTAATGAAGATCAGAAATAAATAAAATTCACAAATAAATGTAAATAAAAAATCATGTTGAGATTTAATTTCCTTTTACATAAGACTCAAGATCACAGAAGGCTTTATTAAAGAATAAAGCCTTCTGATCGAGCATCAATTGAAGCATCAATAATAAATCTCACCCCGTGGAAGGATCAATGCGAAAACACATCGGTCAATAAAATATATTCTTAATGCCGAGACTTGAGGCACACCCGGTATATTACCAGACGGAGTTCTAACCTAGAAAGGGAGAGGAAGGATGACGTGGAGCAACCTGAGCGAGTAGCAGCGAGCAGCGTCAGGACGGGACGATCGAGCGGGTGGATGCTCTTCCGTGACTTTTTTCGTTCGCCGCTGAAGGATGGTATGAATTGCGGCTACCCGGAGTACCCGACGCCGCTCCGTCCGCTCTTGTTTACGGGCGATAGCTGCGCGACGACATGCGCTGGGCCTCCGGCCGTCACGTGCTCCTCGTCGCGTCGGCGGATCGTCGGAAGACGCGAACGGCGGCGCGCACGATGGAACGTTCTCTTTTCATTATATATTCCTCATATCATTATAACTTCAGATCCCAATCCTCGCACGGAAGTAGCACGAGAATCAGATACCGTTTTTGTCCAAACGTTCTCGTTGATTCTCTTGTGATGAACCTCGTTTCGCAAATTCATGAGTCGGAAGACAATCCTTTCGAGAAAAAAATAATTTGATTGATGACAGATATACGCGCCATATACCAACACAACGATTCGCACGTGTGATTGTATACATATATATATATATATCCGATTTACAACTATCGTTTAGTATCGTATAGAATAAATAGAGATAGATATATATTTGAAGGAATAAGATAGATTATTTGTTGTTTCTTTTTTTAACATCTTCGATTGCATTCGAGATTGATGAAATTGGACATATCATAAATTGGACATATCGTCATCTGGATTTGATAAGAATTGTGTAAAAAAAAGTGCAAGATATTAAATTATTAATTATTGTTTAATTTATATTTATTGTGAAATGTATGTATTAATTTATATTTATTGTGAAATAATTTTTATATAATGTTTTTCGTAGATTACGATTAATTTAGCGCTAATAAATGCTTTGAAGTGTTTGACTGACCAATCAGAACAAAGAATTTTATAAACTGATTGATCAAAAAATGCTTCAAAGCATTCATAGTCATTAAGTGAATTGTATCTTAAAATATATATTAATGATTAATATAACTAATTTAACCATTTAATTAATTAAATGTAATATAATTGATTTTTATTATACATAACCAAAAATGTAAATAAGTAATTCTACTAATTGACCAATCAAAAAACACATCAAATTAATAAAATTCTTTATTCTGATTGGCTGGGTTCAGCAGAAAAAAATAACAAAATAGTTTCCAACTATTGTAAGATTCTTTAATATGATTGGTTTATACATTCAGAATCTGTAAGGAACTAAGAGCAAGAACCAATCATATTAAAGAATCTTATACAATTGTAAACTGCTTCTTTTTTGCTGTTTGAACACGGTCGGTCAATCAAATATATCAATATTCGTAGCGCAAAAGCCTTTAAAAGTAAAGATTCATAATTAAATCGAGTAATCATAAATCTATTTTTCATCCTCTTTAACATTCACTGTTACTTATTGCTTATGATTAACTAAAGAAGTTAACCTTAAACGTCCAGCTTAAAAGGTGCATTTTCTTTTTTCATTTCATGAAGCTAAAAAATGGATATTTCGCTATTAGCAATCTTTATAATAATGAAATGAATAGTAATGAATGTTTTAAATTATTCAGAGATTTCGAAATTTTTGAATCAACAGCCTGTCCCTTTTCCTTCTTCGAAATACTTTTAACCTTTAAGGAATATACAACATGAAAAACTTCAGGAATTCTGCAAGAGCATCTAAATTCGTCAAGAATATGTCGCCTAATCGATGTCATAATCGACTAATAATAAGAATAATAATAGGAATATAAGATTTTCGACTAATAGGAAATAATAGTCGAATAATGATAGGAGTACAGGATTTTCTATGAATGTAAATTTATGAAATTTTACACGTTAGACAACTTCGTCTAAAACTAGCACCAAACTAAACACCATTCGCGTTATTCGTAAAGTTTAAAATTTGCAATTTACTATTCATGTGAAATTTGTAAATGATATAAATGCGCAAGTAGATTCGTCCTGAACTTAATTCTCAATTGTTTACTTTATAATTGTTAGCAGAACAGATTTTTAATGAAATCAAAGTAATCACGAATCACTCATAATCCAGCATTAGTTTGCTACAGGAATCTTATTCAATTTGTATTCTCTTTCTTGATGTATAAGCAAGAATTTGAGAACCACTGGAGCAGAGCTGCATGCGCGACCCAATAGCGAGCGAGCAGGCTAAAAGCAACAAATTGTTACTTGTTGCGCCAATTCCTTGCTTTGACTGATTCGACTCGTCGTCAGGTTATCATTGTTGTTCGAGCGTCGTTGAGAACATTTGTTCTGCATCATCTTCACTGCTGATGTAACGCGGACAAAACCATACAGGAAGAAAAGCAAAGGAAAGAGAGACTGCGAAGTAGTGGACGCGTGGAGGACGACGAAGACGCGCCCCTTGACGTAGGCCATTTTGCGTGGCGTCGGGACTGATGAAAGGGCCTGTTCCTTCAGGGGCAAATACACACGCTTGTGCTTTCTCCCAGGTACATGTCCACAGGAAACTCCCGGTTAGGAGCTCATAATTATCCTTTACACTTGAATGTCGCATCTTAAATATGAGTTTTATATTCAGGATGTTCCGTATGGCTTATAGATGCCTGTAATGTGGAGCAGAAACAGCAAGTAAGGAAAGTCAAGCTTGAGAACTTGAGATCCCTCTCTCTTTCTCTCTCTCTCATGCAGTCTAATAAGGAATTATCTTGACGGCACTAGAAATTGCTACACAACACCATGGCACAACCAGTACAAGAAATAAGTGAGTAAGATTGCTTTTGAGTTTTCTTTAGGAATATGCTATATAGAGATCTATCATTCTAATGTAAGTTTTTTTCTAAATATGGCACGTGACTAAAATTTGTGACTAAATTCTCTTTAAATTGCTAGGTAAACAAACATTAAGAATCAATTTCCTATAATTTACTTTTTATATAATATTTATAATTTATGGGAGGATTATATTTGTAGATTCTTTATTTTATACATTGTTTAAATTTCTAATAAATTGTATGATCTGAAAATTATATATATTGAAGCATCTTGAATTTTATCTTAATATCTCAATATTAGGAAGTTAAGATTATGTAAGATATTGTAAAATTATTTTTATTCTGGCTGTGTTAGTCGAGTTATTTTTATTCTGTTTGATATATGTGTTATTAACAATAAATTTTTAGTAGAATAGTTTTAGTAGTTTTATGTTTCATTTATAAAAATTTGTAGAAATTATTATAAATGATTTTTTTCATTGAATTTTATTACAGAAATCCTGAAGATAGAGGAATGTTCTGATTCTAACATTATAATTGAACATGGGACCACAGAAATCTTGTTCGGTAATTTGATTATTTAGAATTAATATATATAATACTAAAATGATTTTAATTATTCAAGACAATATGAATATCTTTGCAGATGGAGAGATCTCACAGGATGAATCTGAAGTAGATAATAAACCAGTTAATGAAAAAGGTATTTATATTTCATGTATATATATAATAAAAGATGTCTCACAGAAATTAAATATTATTGTACAATCTTTGATAAGATAATTTTTTATATTACATACTTTTAGAATTAGTATTTGTACATAATTCCTGCAAGTTTATATAATATAATTTTTATGCTTTATTTTATCAAAATATTCTGTTCTTTTCTTTACATTCTTATTGTTTTTATTTAACAGATAATCTAATTATTTCTATTGATTATCAATGTGTGACGTGTCATCGTGTTTTTCCATCTAAGGATGTAAGTTATGGTTTTTTCTTTTTTTAAACTTACATATATTTTTTATATATTAATTTACATATATCTTTTCATGCTTCTTGTTTTTATTATTTCTCATCTTGTAATTCTGAAACAGATGTTGCAGAAGCATGTAGACATGTGCAGAGAGGAAGATGATTCAACTATTATCATGGGACTTGACAATATGACAAATTACGATTCAGAAGAGGAGGACGAAGATGAAGATGATCCTCTAGCAAGTTCAAATACTGAAGGTATATGACTATATGATTAAGATTGACTATTGATTGTTTACTTTCATGTTACAAAGGATTTTACAGTTTAATTATATTCCTATAGATTCAGATGCTAAAGGCCAAAAAAATAATAATGAAAAACCAATGATTACGCCCGTGCCGGAAACGCAATGCCATTGCTGCGGGGAAAACTTAAAGACGGCACATAGCGGCGGGAATTACAAATGTGTACATTGTGATCTCAGTTTCAAAAAGAAAGCATCTTTAGATAGACATGTTATAGTCATACACTGGAAATGCGATTTGTGCACATGCAATGAATGCGGTTCTTCCTTCCGCGACAAGAAAGCCTTAAATAAACATCGTTATACAACACATGAAGATCGCAAAATTTTTAAGTACGTTTATTTTCGCATATAATACTTTGTTATAATACCTTGTTATAAAATAATCTTATACAATACCTTGTTTATAAAATAACTTCATCCATTGCTTACTGCAATCAACTATATATATATATATATATATATATATATATACAGAGTATATATATATACATTATATTAAGTCACATTCTTGTAGATATAAAAATATTTCTATGAAGTTTAGCTTGATAATCTTTTTCATTTTGTATATTATTTAGTTTTTTTTTATTAATCACGATTTTTATCATGATTTTTGTGTAATATTTTAGATGCGAGCCTTGTGACACTTATTTTTCCCGGAGTTACCACTTAAATCGGCACATAATGCAGTCTGGTTGTCACGGTAACATACTTAATATGTTCAGTTGTCAAGTAAGTATACTTATCTGTTGATAATTCAAAACGTTGAGATTTTCAGAATCATACATGAATAAACGATGTTACAGATTTGCAAAAAAGCTTTTACACGTAAGGATAATTTGCGAGAACACTTGCGTTCTCATGCAGGAACACCGCAAAGACAAAAGAAGAAATGTAAATATTGCCCAAAGGAATTCTTTACAAACCAACAGTTGGTGATACATGAACGCATGCATACGGGAGAGCGACCGGTCCATTGCGATTTATGTCCGAAGACATTCCTTTCGTCGCTTGCGCTGAAAAAACATCGTCGGGTACATACTGGAGAAAAGCCGTTTGAATGTAAATATGTAAGTATTTTGTTGTTTTTATCGATGTACTAAATCTTTCCACTCATTTCTCAATAACGATCATCATAGTGATCAACATCTTGGTGATTAAGTATAGAAATAATTTCATTATGTCGTTTCATATTACAAGCTAACATTAGGACAAAACAAAATATGACGTAAGTTTTTAATCGTCCATGAATTACATCAATTAAGAACATTTTCAAATATACAATTATATATTTTTATTTTATGATCAATTTTCATTAAATATTCAAGTATAAAAATGAATGTTTTCAGTGCAAGAGGAAATTTGCCGCTCGTGAGACTTTGAATCGACATCAACGGACACATACGGGCGAGAGACCGCATGTATGTCAATATTGTGGTAAATCATTTATACAGGCAGCGCAATTGAGAGCACATGTGTTCCATCATACCGGAGAAAATGGATTCTCTTGCGATGTATGCGGCAAGGCGTTTAATCGGAAAGCGCGTATGAATATCCACAAGAAGTTTGTTCACGAAGGAGCGATCCCATTCACTTGTAAAGTCTGTGACAAGGGTTTTACTCGAAGGGAGGATTTGGTGAAGCACGCGCTGTTGCACACTGGCGTTAAACGTAAGCAATATAAAAACGAATTACATTACATATAATATTTCAAAATAGGGTGTTTTGCTCGTTTCTATTTATTGTGCTTATTCGAATTTCTTTTTGTATTGTGTTTCAGCGTTCCAGTGCGATAAGTGTAAGAAAGCTTTCTCCACAAAGTCATCATTACAGGCTCATCTTAACACCCACAGGCGTGAACCACCCCAATCGTGCATCGAGTGCAACCGAGTATTTATCCGGCAAGATTGCCTAATGCGTCACATTCGGGCGAAGCATCGGGAATTACTGGAAGATGTAATGAATGAGGTCGAGAAAAAACATTTGCAAAAGCAATTGCATAACATTGCGGCGATCGCTGCTGAGAAAACGAAAACTGGCGAGTCCAAAAGACTTTCCACCGATGAGTTGTTGAAGGCCATTATAGATCTTTTGAGAATACTTATCGACGAGGAAACGTTACAGGTATATTTTGTTAACTTCGATTCAATTTAGTTATATTGCATCATAATTAATGAAAAAATTAGGTGTTAATTGCCGAATTAATTCTAATATTCACAGTTATTTGGTTGGCCAGAAGCTCCGATACAAGATATTCTTGAAGCCGTGATTAGAAGATGCGGACAAGAGCCGATTACAGCCGAATCTAATATGATGTTTACTGATAGGCTACGACAAAATATTAAGCTTTTGTTCACTGTCGTTACGAATACTGTGACTGACGAGACAGTAAAATCCCTCCTGACAACGAAAACGGTGGACGATGTTATCCTCCACGTTTTAGAAATATCTAAATAATTCGGATGCAAGATTTTAAGAACGAATAGATATATGAAATATATTTTTTTCCTAATTTTAAATATTTTAAGATTGATATGATGCAAATGACAAATAGAATCAGGATTTTAATTAATAAATTCGTGTACATTATCGAAGAAAACAAAAAAAAGGAAGAATATACACATAAACAGGCGCACACAAAAATTTTATAAAGTTAACAGAATGACTTTTATAACGTGTGTTTTTGATTGCAATGGATTTTGATCTGAGTTATGTTATCATAGTATATATTTCTTACATCTAAAATAAGATGACATAGGATGCGTTAGAAAAAAAAATGAATTCAAGAAGTATATTATGATAGCATTAATCTGGATAGCATTAATCAAAACAAACTGCAATCGAAAATATGTTAGCAGATTGTATTTTATAATTTAACGTGTTATTATAATATAAAATAATATTTTAAGATTTTTTGTAGGATACAGATCAGAGAAATTTAATTAGCAGTCTATATTCATTAATATATTAATTTTGACACGATGTATATTTGATCATGATCGCACTTATATTTAGATTTATTATTTTTATGATGATTTTACACATGTATAGAACAAGAAGTTGCAATTTTTATCAAGATTGACTATACAAATAAAGTTATGTAACACTATACATATATGAATATATTTTATGTATGGATCATTAATGAATAAAATTACACGAATTTGTCATTAAAAAAAAAGGGAAAAGAAAAAGAAATTGTCACAAATTAGAGTCATTTCATTTTGTCCGCGCATTGTTCCGTCATGACGTTTCCATGGTTACCGTTCGAATTACATTGGTGGCGGTTTCCGCGGGGGTTCGCCGCCAACTTCCGGTTGTCAATGCAGCGAGCTGCGTTTCGTCAGACAGAAAAGTCATTCCTCTCAACCGTTTCTGTCAGAAATTATCTGGAAGAAAACGGCAGATTCCCTGAGGACTCAAGAAAACTCGCATCGGATTACACTTTCGGTGGTGAGTACGCACTATTCTTGTCGTCGTTGTATATAGCTTTTTTTTATATCATCAAATGTCACAACGTTCGGTGATGCAGTGCACGTTGCGTGCCGAAGTCGAGGTTTTATCGATTTTCTGCTTGATGTGATGCGCAGTCGTGTTGTCGCGCAGTCCTCGATTGCAGGCGAATCCGCGTGGTACGAATCGGAGGAACAGAGGAAACTTTCATACATCTGCAAGATGGTAAAGCATAGCTGAAATGTAAATTATGTAAATACATAATTTTCAAATAGTTCCTGAAAAGATTCATTTCACATTGGGAAATAGGAACTCTATAGTTCGAAAAATAAGATATCATTAATACCTTTTTGCTTGAAGATAGTTACTTCTGATATATCGCATTTAAATATTTATACAGGAAACATAATTTTAAAATGATTAAACGTAAATTTTATTTTGAAAATTCTTTGCTTTTATCATAGATTTTTAGAAACGTCTTCACGATCATGTCATGAAACATTTCTGTAGCGAACGCACGATTATTATTGGTTGTAAATCACAATCTTTTTTTTTTAATTTGTCAATAAGAAATTAAAAACAGATAATTCAGCTTCGAAAACGAAACTTATATTTTCTGCATTGAACTAATCGCGCGTGCACATAATTCCATCTTTATGATTGCGTAAAGCTTCAATGAACAATAACATTATTACAAAATTATCATGTTTAACTATACTTTTTATCTATTTTATTTTTTAATTTCCCTTTGGAATACTTACAATTTAATTTACTATCGTGTATTCAGTTTCACCGCTTACACGCGAGCGTGTAAAAAACGCGAAATCAAAACGGGACGTCGCATAATTCCACGTTCGAAACGCCTCGTTTCCCGCGCGTAACGGTAGCTTCCCTCCCATCTGCGCACGCGCGCGCATTTGTGACCCCGTTGGCCCGCGCGATCACGTGACCCGGTCTGATGGTGGCCCACGTGACTCCGCGCTGCCGTGCGACCGCGCCGCGCTCCACTGCGCTTGACTGGTGACTGCGCTCATTCGCGCTCCGAACGTGGGAGATGTATGTGTAGGTGCGCGCACTCGGCAAGTATCGCGACAACATCTCTCCTCGCTGCGTTGCTGCTGCGGCATTTCCAGCGGCACATACGTGATCGTGATCATCGTTGCCGGTGATAGTCAGGCCGGTCGCCCCCAGCTCTCTGTCTCAGTTCGAGGAAGCCGCGCCGTCGGTGGATACCAGCCTCGTCGGAGGTTTATCGATCCATCTCAAGGTTAGTGAGTGGTAACCAGGAGCGCGCTGACGCGCGCTCTCCTCGACGGCGCTCCCCGTGTGTAAGTCAGTCCGTTTTATATATAGAGCGTGATGCATCGCCTTTTTGTGTGTATGCGCCACGAATTTCGCGGCCCCCATGCCGGCGCCGGATTTCGGCGGGGCGGATGTGCGAGAGATCGATCCGCGTACACGCAGGATGTAGCGAAGATTGATCCCGCATATTATCGGGGTATATACGGGCGATATACTGACGCGGATAGACTGTTTCCCGCGATTCCGCGGCGACGACGGAAAAGCAAGGGAACTCCCCTGGGAATATCGCCGAAGTCGCCGCATATTATTTTCGCGAAATGAGATAGCACCTCTCTTGGGAATATTAGAACATCCGCGATTTTAAATACGAACACGTAATCCACCGAAGACCACCGCGTATTATTTCTTAGTGAGTCTTTAATGAGTTTGAAATTAGTTTCTACGTGGCGCAAGAAGTTAGGAGAGTCGTGTTCGCATTCCCATGCGGGATTCATAATTGAGACTTGACTCTTATTTCTTGTTGTAATAGTGGAATCTATCTATCTCGACTCCTTTTCGAAAAATAAGATTTCATGATTTATTTTACGTTTTCCTCAATCCCTCAGGTATCACGACTTTCTCATTCTTCGAGGATCAATTAATACGGTCGTTAATTAATTCTCCCAACAAATTTCCGCGCGCCGCGGGGATAAAATCAATTTGAAATTCATCGAAGAATCTGTCATTGCAAAACAAATCGGAGATATTGGGATATCCTGTACGCGCGCGCCGCACTCAATTTTCCGATTGAAATTTCCGATCGACATATCGGAATTAAATTCGATCTCTCGCTTAATCGAGTAATTATTATAAATATGTTTATAGCTAACTCTTACAATAATTTATTACAGACAATTAAGTTTGCGTCTAATTAAATCATGTGCAACTTTTTTTTATTTAAAAGTACTGTATTCAAACGCATATCAAGAATTTAATAAATTCTTCTCTGTTGCCTTTATATATCATGGTTTCATTCTCATCTTAGAATTTGTGATTAAAACTTTTATCAAAATAAACAAATACTAAGGGACCTTTTAGTACTAAGAGTTTTTTTCAGTCGCATTTTTAAGCAAAGCCTGCTTTAGACAATCTATAATTCATATAGGATTTTAGATTAAAACTTTATTTATAATTCTATGTGCCGTGTATTTCGACGCATTTATGTTATATGCAATTTAATTAAATTAAATTAAAATTTACGTTTGTTTTAATTTTATATGTGCAGTTACGATTTATTAAAGCTTTACGGCACGTAAAATTACAAATAAAATTCCATCTTGCCATTCTGGCAGAAATTAACTAACGCGAGATATTAACACTGGAATTAGAATTGAAAAACAAGGTTTGAAATGATTTTTAAAAGGATCTCTAATCTCGTGAAATTCGTAATTTCCTCAAAATGAGTTTCTTTATTTATTACACAGAAAAAAGTTAGTAATAAATCAAGACAAATATTCTTATATTGCAAGTATTGGTTTTGTTCAATGGAAGATTAAAAAACTTTTATATGAAGATTATAATATTTTGCTTATATGTGAGTGCAATATCTGTGCTTGCATCAATACAAATCCAAAATCTTTTAAAAAGATTATAACATTCTTATATATGAGAATAATCTTGATTCAAGACTAATTTTTTTCTGTGTAAGTTCGATGTTTTGTCTAGAAATCCGTCTCGTGAATGTCGCCGTTTATTTTGTTTCGTTGCTCTCGAATTTAGCCCTCCCCCCTTCTCCCCCTCGTATTATCGTGAGATCGCGATGTGTCGAACGATGCAATCCACAGTTCGATCACGTTTGACATTTGTCTCGCGTCCTGCCAACCGGTTTTCTAGCTTTAGTATGCATTTTAACTGAAGAGATCAATCAACTCAAAATCGGCGTGCAAAATCAACTAAAAATTTCGAGCATGTATCTAAAATAATTCATGTACTTCGTCGGATGCATGTAAATTAACAATTGATTTCGCCGTTGTTTTGGCTTACCTTCTTCTCTCGTTCTTTTATTAATTACGTGCGGCTTATGTTACTCCGCTTCCGAATTTATTAAGTTGAAAAGAGCGAACGGTGATAAGTTGAAATGTCTGGAGTAAGATGGAATAGACGTGTGATGCATATAATGACAATTCGTAATTCTTTACGTATTTCTTTACGTGCACAGGAAGCAGTTTAATTAGTCGATTGCTGTATGATACTCTTAACGAATCGTGCCATTTGACTGAAAAGCTCGTATAAAAATTAGCATTTCTGAATTAAAATAATTTTCTCATTTTTCAGATATAGTTCTTTCTTTTACAACACAGAGAAAATAGTTTTGCTGGCAAATCTAAAAATTTAACCAGATCTAAGAATAATTTTGTTGAATCAAAATTAGTATATAGAATGCTTGAATATAATAATAATGCTGCAAAAGTTTTTGATCTTCTAGCAACTAATTTGGACATCTTACATATGTAATAATTTTGAAGGCCAACAAAATTATTTTCTGGACAAATTTTTAGACTTGCCGGCAAATGTTCTTTCCGTGAAAAATTTTCTTTTACCGCGTATACTGTGGTTTCTTTACTTTTCTTGATAATACAAGGCATATTTTTTTTTTAAAGCCGCGGAACAAAAGTGAAAAAACTGAGTAACGTGTCGCTTAGAAGACGTGCTCGATAGATTTGTATCGAATGTTATTGCATTCCGTGACTGTTCGCGGTTACCTTTTTTTTATATATATTTCGTGTCATGTTCTTTCTTACGGATGTTGTGAGTGTGACTCATGTGCACACGTGAATAGGTATAAAAATATTGATTTTTCCATCTATCCCCCCGTATTTATAGCGATGCTCCCGTATATCTATCCCAGTATCTAAAGTTGTGCAATACTTTCGATATATTATATCATCGCACACATACACACAAGCCATCGGCCTTTGTTGTAAAGAGCTGCGGAGGCTGGGAAGCATAAATTGCGAACGGGAATTTGCCGCAATATATAATTACTACGATAATTTACTCGAAAATGAAATACTCGAAAATATTCGAAAATAAAATATTCGAATTTTCCCTACAATTCGTTACATTCTTCGTTACTCTTGACACTTTCGACAATATCATGCGCTATAAACGCGATATTATTAATTGATTTCTGTTTTATATTTTTATTAAACATTATCAATAAAATGTTAAAATGTGATCGCATTAATTTGCTCATATGATATGATATATAAGCAACTACTTTATTAGCAACTTCTAATTTAAGGTCAATTATTAAAGGTCAATGTATGTACATTAAAAATTGCAACATACATTCAAAATTGCATGAATTATGTTTTGCAGAAAAAAATCAAACTATAATTAGAGACATAGTTATTTTATTTCGCAAACTTTAAGATTGTTAAAATTTCGAGATATCGAAAGGCGTTGCCTGAGTTAAAATAGCGTAAAGCGCGCGAAATAACGTATAATGTTTTTATGTTCCGATTGCATCAGCAGTGCGTGATGACAAAATGCAGATTCCGATTAGATCACAATTTCGTCTTTAGTAATATTGCGCAATGAGGAAAGCAGGATCGATATTCATTGATGCACGCAGCATGAACTTTCATCGCTTGCCAACGGCAAATTAAAAAGATAACGTTCGCAATCACGCCGGCGGATTTCGAAAAAGTAGAAAAAAAGAATTGAAACGCGATTTTACTCGTTTTCTCAATTTTCCTCAATGCGGGAAATAAAGTTCCAGTTTTTCTCGCTCGTCATCGTTCAATCTGCATGACGAATGCATATCGCGATTATGAAGCGATTATCGTCGCGACGTGAAAATTTTCTTTCATGAACAAAATTTATATATTTCTCTTTTACAGTGACATATATCTCACATAATCTTGCATGATTTTATTACTTAACTTCGTTAAGTTAACATCAATTTTCATAAAAATTCCAGCCAATAAAGTAAACTTTATAATATACTTTATAACATTTGTAAAGCTACGCGGCATAACTGTTGTGTGTAAGAAAAAAATTCATCTCGTGACGTAATAACCGAAAGTGTCGAAAGCGTCTCAATCTCACCAATTAATGTGCATACCCGTACATTAAAGTCTCTCTAATCTTTATCTTTTATTTTTCAAGAATATTTGATATTCTTTATCAAATGATTTTCAAGAATCGAATATTCTTCTAAGAATGTGCAGAGCAATCGGAGTTTTTTTATTTCTTCCGTTTTGAGCCTCTTGTGCGTTCAAAGCCTCTCCCCCCCCCCCCCGAGTATTAACGGATTGCAACGAACTGGTGCAAGTGCATCCGGATCGCCGCATCGTAACACGCTGCGGTACGATCGACCGCACACGTGTCATTTAGCGTATCCTCTACCACCCACTTGCGTGTTCCTATCACCCAGATCGTGGGCGGATACACGCTGACGTCGTCATATCGTGACGCCATAATCAGGCGCCAATTACGTTCGCATAACCCTTAGAACATCACCCCTCTCGTCGTAGGGTTATACGAGACGGTAAATAATCCTTCTTTTTTTCTTTCTCCGCGAATTACGGAAAATCCCCGGAGACTGTTGACCTCGTTTGTTAAGATTGTGCTCCTTGTCTGTTATCATAATTCGCGAAATGTATATCTGAGAGAAACGTGTATCGCGAGATGAAATCAAGGTTTCGGTCGTTTCTTTTTATTTTCCTCCAACGCGAATATTTGCTGGCTATAAATAATTTCTCTGTAAAGAGAAATAAAGACGCGTGAAAAAGATTTTTACAGCGGTGAAAGATTATACGGATAAATATAAGTATGTATACACATTTTCTAAAGAATTCATGGAAAACTTTTAAAAATATCAATTTTTAAGAAGAGGATTTTTTTTTTCTTTATAAAGATTTCTCTTTGTATTTTTCTCTTTTCTTCTTTTTATATTTTTAAAAATAACATTTTAAAAAATGAGATAAATAAATTGTTTTATTACGTTAAAACAAATTAAGTTCGTTGTTTTGAATATATTTATATGAATTTATTTATGTATAAATTCCTTTTCCGCAAGAGTCAATTTCCTGTTGCAATCGCATGCGTTTGCTTAGCCGGGTCTTTAGCTTAGGTCTCGGTCGGAATGCTGAACTCGTTCGGATAGCCTAATCACGTTGTCCACGATCTTGACGCCATAAGCGACGCATAAGATCAGCACAATGGCAAGATACCTTTCACCCTGGAAGCCTGCCAATTTCCTCGAGGGCAAGGACAGAGCTGGCCACTCGATCACGCCGCCGTCCGTTACATTGCCACTGGTATATTTCGGATCGCCATTATTATTTTTGTCTTTCGCAATCCCTTTAACCGTGCATTTACTTCGTGAATAATGCGTTTCGCCCACATTCGCGAAATCGTTGTGTCAAACGTTGTGATTATCCTAGACAGATCGGGGACCACAAATTGGCGGCTGATCGCGAATATTTCGAAAGCGTTCGAAAGCGTTTCCCCAAGATAGTCTGTTCGTGTTCATGTCGAACGATACTTTAAATCCTGCGGTTTTCAGCGTCGCAAATCCGGGAACCCGGGAATTCTCTGCGGTCTGCGAGACCGGTCGCTACAAGCTTACACTTCTCACTGGGATAGTTATTGGTCAGTCCTACCCTGCGTCTGTATTCGACTTAACTGTTCATTTTAATACTTCAATGTCAAATACTTCCATTTTTACATATCGTAGGATCAAATATTTTAAATATTTCCTTGAATGTATAAAAGAGGACTTTAAAATACCTTATATTTTTATTTTCATTTTTCGACTGATTTTTTTTTTTTAGATATAATTTTTAGAAAAAGATTAAAGCTATCTTTTTCAAGTGTTCAATTTATAAGTATTCAATTTTTTTGCTACTTGAATTTTTGCAAATCTTTATTAAAAAAATTACACGATCAAGAACTAAAATTGATACATTTCTTGGACATCAAGATCAAAACGAACAAAAGAGAGAAAGGGATATACATATTTTAAAAACATCCTAATATTTGAGATTTCAACATCAAACATTCTTCTTTTCCTCTAAAGGAACTTCATTTCTCGTTCCACGCTCGAATTCTCTACTTAAAAGAATTCATTACAAATGTTCTTTTATATTGCTTTAACCATGATTTGCGGCGGGAAACGAGTCTCTGTTTCTTGACCTGCTCCCAGTCCGACCGACCAGCTGATCGTTTATCCTGCTCGTGCCGGTCACGTCGGTGTTAAGGAAGCCAGTCGAAGAGGGTGAACGAGAACGAACGAACATCGACGACGACGACGACGACGATGATGACGACGACGACGACGACGACGACGACGACGACGACGACGATAGAGACGTCGCGTCGCGTCTGCGCGTCCCGATGCCATCGTCGGTGGGTCGGTCGGTCGGTCGGTCGGTCGGGGGTATTGATTTTCCACGTCGTCATGTGTGAGTGTGCAGTCGCGCATACGCGTTGACCACGCAGACATATATATTTACACATACATTTGCCGCGACGACCGGCACACCGCGGCGCGGCTGCGAATCCGCCCGCGGAATTCCGCAAAATCTCCCCGGCGTCGTCGTCATCGAGTGCTACCCTCTGAGTGCTACCTTCCGGCCAGCAGGCGAAGGATCTCCTTCGTGGTCTCAATTGAGAAACACAACGTTTCGCGTACGGTCGTTCGTTACTGTTCGCGCACCGGTTTCGCTATTACAGTCGCCGAGCGGGGTAGCTCCTCGTAGATGGTGCTCCAACGCGACGTCGTTCACTCCCACCCTGCTCCTCGTCGCTCCTGAGGAGAGAGGGTGGTCTTTGGGCGGACGCGATTCCACGAGGACGGCGTTTCGTTCCGTTTTCGCTAGGTCTTGGTGAACATCACGTCGCGGTACCGAGCACCGCGTATCCACGTAGGGATTCACACTTCCTCTCCAGAGGCAACCGCGTCTCTCTCGCCCTTCCGTCATCCCGCGGGACCGATAAGTCTGATCTCGCGTCTTCGCTGATTGCTGTTGCAGGCCGCGCTAAACCCGCCGATTCGGTTCCGGCGGCAACCAGGAAGCGGCACCGTCGCATCGTAGCCGGTAGACGGGGAGACAGGTTCGAGAGGAAGAAGAAGACTGTCGCCCGGCATCTAGCCCCATCAGGCACCTGACCACCAGCCGGCGATGCCTGCACCTACGTCAGCGGCGGGTGCGGCCGAGGGTGGCCCGCCCCGCACCGAACTGCAGGAGTTACAGCTCAAGGCCGGCCAGACCACAGATGAAGTGAGTTCGAGATATATCGATATATATATATTATATGTTTGTATATAAATATATACATATGGATGTCGCGCGATATAACAGTCACGAGGATTTATGATGCGGGGGTTGAAAGCGATGCGTAATTTCGTCGAGATTTCGGATCATGATTTTGGAGAGACAACAATCGGCATAAAGTTCTCTCTTGCATCGTCGAAAACTTTTCGAATAGCCTTCAGCAAGTTATTCGCAATTTATTTGAGACGTTTATTTAATATTTATATGTAAAAACTAACAATTAGAGATATAAGATAATTTAGTCATGATGTTGTTCTTATCTTATATATTTTATTAACGTCCTTGCTAATTTGAAAAACCCTTAGACTTTGATTATTTTTTATTTGGATTTTTTTATATGATATTTTAAGCATGATGAAATCGGAGTTTTCTCAAATGAACTGTAACTATAAAATTACAAACTTTGGAATGTAGGAGAAATTATAGATTCGTTTTCCTTAGAAAATAATCTAACGGAAATAAATGAAATAGCCAGGTTACATTTTCTTCGAAAAAATTCTTTAATCAGCTCGCGATCTCTCGCGTGACACGTGGTAACCGGTGGTGATCGGCTTTGTTTCAGTCTCTGGAGAGCACGAGGCGTATGCTGGCGCTATGCGAGGAGGTGAGTCTATCCCTTTCGATATTTGTTCCCTCCTTACTTGCGCATCGACCCCTTGATCCTCTCTCGATCGTCCTCGAGATCCCGCGTCGGTGCACCGGTCCCTTCCCTCCCCATCACTCCTTGAGCCAAATCCCATGTAGCGATCCTCCCGTGAACCCCCCTCGTTTAGTCCCCCGTGAAATCTCCTGAACCTTCGAGCTCCCAGACTTTTCCTGTCTCTGTCTCGTAAACTAGGAACGATTTTCATCGACGGATCGTTGCGCGCTACTGCGGCAAGACGGGCGCCATTGGTCGTTTGGAGTTCCATCTCGAAGCTTAAAAAAAAAAAAAGAAGAGAGAAAATAAAAAAAGAAAATGACAGCAAAGAGAAAAAGGAGTCGCGCCAGAGAGAGGTGGGCAAAGTACTATTTCGATCGTTAACCGGTCAAGTGGCGAGCTATCTCGATCACGATCGACTCGTTTCGGTCCGCGCGATTCGCGCTGTCGAGGACTAGTTAGTAGACTGTGAAGTAGAAGTAATACCAAGTACGAAGCCAGTTGATTCGTATCTCGACCGATCGAGCTTGAAACCGGAAAGATTGACATGAATTCTTTTGATAACGAAGTAAACTTTTGCTCCTTAAGACTTCTTATTTATCCGACCGAGACTTCTTATTTTATTATCTTATTTTATTTATGAGACTCCAAAAAATAGAGTTTGCTCTCGTCTTGTTTTTATTTTTGTCGCAATTTTATCATATAATAATTGACGTACTGACGAGTGCCACTTGACTGGTTAAGCGTTGTCGTTTGCGGACGCGTGAATTCCGCTTTGCACGAGCTTTAAGCTGGCTGGAGACAATCTTCTGCGGGGTTCACCCGGTCACAGGAGGAGGAGAGGAAAGCTTCGAGGGGGCCATACGGGGATGTGGGGAAGACGTATTGCAGGTGACGTCGAGGACGGGGGCAGAAACGTGCGACGTTTTCGAAGTAGTATTTTATCCAGCTCTGGCGCTACACGGAGGCGACGATTCCGGCAACGTGTTGCGGTCCGAGCGTGTAAAGAAGCGGGTAAAGAAACGGGTAAAGAGGACCGTTTCGTGCGCACCGCGACAAACGAATGGAGAGAGGACTCGTTCCTCGAGGGATGGGATGGGGGGCAACGAAACACCCTGTGCCTGCGATCTTAGAATCGCGAAGGAAGAAATCAAAAGAAAGAAAATAAGAAAAGAAAGGAAAACCAATCGGGGAAAGAACGGGACAAGCTCTCTGCTCGCGCGAGGAGAAATTTGTAAGACGACGCATCGACGCGCTCCGAGAGACGGCGAGGCGCCTCGCGAACGTACGCAAAAAGAGGGATAATTTGTATCCCTGCTCGAGTAAACTTCAGTTTCGGGTTGTAATTACAAGGATGGTTCAGATTGAGACTTTAAAAATATAGCAAATGTGTGTAAGTCCATGGTGGTGTATTGAATGAAATTTGCTAAATTAAAATTTGTATGAAATGTCTCTTTTATTATATCTATAATTTTAGTATAAAAATGCAAAAGATAATATTCATTATCATACTAAAAAAAAACTTATTTATTATTTATCTTGATAATTTAGATAAATATATATTCTAAAGTTAATAATAAATTTTGTCAAACGTATCCAAAAGATATAAGGTATGAAAATATGAGAACTGAACTGTCCTTTATTTACGTTTCTTCATTTTTTTAATTATTATCCAAGGTATTCCAAAACTGTCGCACTTCCCTTCAGCCATGAATTCTTCATTAAAAATTTCCTTTCTTTGCTTCGAACCAAAATGAGAAAGCGAAATAAAAATGTCGGTCTAAATTTAAATAGATTTAATTTTATTTTAGTATAAAAGTTTAACTCGAAAATCTTAATATGTTCTATTATTTAAAATTAAAATTAAAAACTGGCTCCATTGGAATTTTTCTAAGCGAGATTCATGCTTAATTGGTCAATGAACAAATATCCAATAACTTTAAAGCATTGCATTGTATCAAGTATAAAAAGAAAAAGAAAATTTCGAAAGAATTTAGAATTGCTTGACTAAAGAAAAGCACTCCGACTTGATTGGTTTCGCTTTATTTTATAATATAATATATTACTCGTATACACAAGATAATGAATAATTTTTTATTAAAATGTCGATTTAACTTCTATTTCTGCGTAATTGCATTTATCGAAATTTCTCAAGCGGATGGAACATTTACTCGTGAGCAAGTGAGTTAGATTTTGCTTCTGAAGTTTCGCATTGCTGTTACGGAAGTGACGACGTATAAGTACCCTCCGTTCCGCGTATTGATCTAACGTTCTATTCGTGTTTACTCGCGTGTATTTGACGATATTGCGTGCGTTCGCGCGTATGCCACAGTCGTGAAAAAGAAAAAAAAATCTGTCTGCATTCTGCGGCTCTCCATGTTCTCTTTCTATGCATAATTATTCGCTGTCTATGCTCGTACTATACTATATTCTCGATACATATTTGTGTGCGCGTGTGTACATTTCTATACACGAATATACGCGATTCTTGTATATCTGTTTTATATATCTGTTTTATATAGAGAGATGTTTGTCCTTCTTTTACTATTTTTTAACTTACTATACTTGTCGAAGGAACGCACGCAACTGGCTTCCGTGATTTGATCCGGTTAAATCGGATTATCCTTTCCGACAATTGGTCTTAGTATCGTTCGTAGCATTTATTATTATTATTGACAGTAATAGACAATTGTGAGCGATTGGTATTTTCGAATTTGAAAGAGAAAGAGTTTGAAGATTATTTTTCATATATATGTTCACATAATTTTTGACGATCTTGAATTCAATAATTTTTTACTTTATACGCTTATTGCTAATATAAGTTTAGCAATTTTTTTTTTTCTAAAAAAAATATATATATTGTTTGAATTTGACATTTGAACATTGTTGTGTCATGATGCCTTGGCATAAATAAATAAAAGTTGACACATCTCTTTAACTAACTCTCATATTCTTTTACAATTGTCTAACGTTATGTAAATCGCGCGAAAGCGAACTCGCTATAATTTCACTCGTTTATTTGCAACTTTTGCGAGAAACATAACAATCATGTGGATGAAAGCGGATCGATATTCCTCGAATTTCCTTCGAGAACGGATAAGATCCGACGAGGTCCTTGCGTCGTTCCGTTTCAGTCTCTCTCGCTGCTACTTATCTACCTGTGGCTGCACTAATAAGCACGTGTCGCATTCTTCCGAGCACCGAAGACGTCCTCGAATCATCATCGGCCGATCGAGAAGCGTACGTACACACACTCACAATGCGCAATGCGTCATCATATCACGTCATGGTGCGTGATAACGACCGCGCAGGCAAGTCGATCGTGCTCCCGATCGACCAGGAAGCGAGCTTCCGGTGTGGGAAGGGGAGGGGGTGTAGGGGGTTTTTCGTAAACGGTTGTCATAAGCCGCTGAAGCTGCGTATTTCTTCACGGCGACGCGACGAGAATTCTCGAAAGTTGAACGCGATTTGTGAGAGAATGACGCCGAACGATTAGCAGCGATGGCAACCGATCGCTGGGTCTTTCTCTCGTGAAGTTTGATCGCGAAGTTTTTTGTCATTAAACGAAGATTAATTTGCGATACACTCGCACCTCTTTTTGCAATCCTCTTCAACGCGAATTCCCTGCGCGACGGTGTGCGAGCGGATTTTTTTCTCTTTTTCTCTTTTTCATCGTCCTTTTATGACTTTCGCTTGCTAGGAACGTATATATTTCAAGCGATTGATTCTCTTGCAATCAAAATTTTTGTCGACATAGTTATTTTGTCGAAGAAAGCAAAACGTTTTAATATAGAAAACTGAAGAGAGAATTACTGCAAATGAAAAAGAAGAAAGGAAAAAATACAAAAGTTTACTTTTTCACTATTATTTTTTCAATATTATTTATTTAAAAAATTATTGAAATTATAATTATTTATATAATGTGAATTATCCGGTTGCATTTAACACATCTCTCTTATTGATTTCGATTTTAACTTTTTCTTTTAGCGATAATGTATTAGAAAATACTTCCACATATTAAGTGGCAAGTGCATTTTATTGTGCAACAATTTTCCGAATAAATCTAATTAACTTGTCATTATTCGAAGATAGAGACTAGTCATTTTCTAATATTTATATCGATTCTGGAATGTTAAAACATGGTAATTGCCAATTAAGACTAATATGATTTTAGATACAACACCATAGGCTAGGTAGACTATAGGATGAATATGTAGGAAGGCCAATCAAACGCGATATAATAATGCTTAATTAATGACGACAATAAACAATATTAGATGCTAACGAGTACGTAGTGCCACGACGAGATTAATAATTATTATGATTATGAAAATAGCTTTCGATAATTATGCTTGCGCACCGTCGACGCGGACAAGCGTACGTCTCGAGTTTTCTTTTTTTCATACGAACCTGCGAAGGGCAGACCCCTCCTTTTCCCTGTATATGTGTGTCTTTTTAATCGGCACGTAGATAAATAATAACGTCGACTCAACGATCGGTGCCTCTCTTTGTCTTCCTTCGGAACGAGGATTGTAACGAGGACTCGAAGACGCAAAGTAATGCTCTCACGTCACGTGGGATCGTGCACTTGACGTGCACAATTAATCACGGCGATTGTACATACGCGCGTTGTATTATACTGTGAACGATTGTGTTTGTGACAGCGCAGCAACGCGAATTACTCGACGGCAGCGTCGAAGTTCGCGATAGCGCAGCGAGCGGAGGGAAGAATGCTCGCGTGAAAAGGAAACCAAACAAAGCAAAAGAAATTCTCTATCGCGAATGAAACTGCGATTCGATTTTTTTGTTCTTTAATCCTTTGCGCTTTAACGGCAATTAAAGGGCGAAGAGTGACACGTGCTCTTTTAGAAACGGTGTCATTTTCTGTTCCACATTATACTGTCGTTAATCCTATTTATTTTCGAAAAGGTCATATTACATTTAATATTTATTTAAAAGCGAAGATTAACGATAAATAAAAAGTATTATAATTTTTAACATTTTTTTTTTTCCAGAAAATCTTTATGATTTTTTAGTAATTTAATATTAATCTTAGTCAAATAATTTTATAAAAGAATTTGTAATTAAAATTAAAATTGGAATAGATATCTAGCATTTAGAGAAGAGTATTGAATTTATGAATTATAATCTCTATTCTTGTATGTTTGAAAGAATATTTTTATAACACTGATTACTTTGTATCTCGACGCGGGTAGAGTGCAAAGGGTTAAAGCGCAAATCGATCTCGCGCGAGAGTGCTCTTCAAGATCCGATCATCGAACCGAGAGAGAAGGGGTTCGGCCCTTTTGCTGAGAGTGGGGCCGACCACCCAGGAGAGTCTCCCATCGAAACGATGGGGTGAAACGAGACGCTCGGAAAGAGAAAAACGGCAAATGCGACTTGAAAAGAGAAAAGCGAAAAGGAAAAAAAATGAAAAGGGAAAAGAAAACTGAATGAAGATAAGAGGGAAGATGGAGAAAAGCTGCGTCTGTATATGTGTAT